CATTTTCTTGTGTCCTCTTCAGTCTCTTTTTTCAGTGTGTTGTAGTTCTCAATGTAGAGGTCTTTTGCTTCCTTTGTTAGATTGATTCCTAGATATTTCATTTTTTTGGATGCTATTATAAAGGAACTGTTTCCTTAATTTCTCTCTCAGTGAGTCTTTTATTTGTGTACAAGAAGGCTATTGTTTTTTGAGTGTTGACCTTGTATGCAGCTACTCTACTGAATCTGTCAATTAAATCTAGAAGTCTTTTGGCGGAGTTTTTTGGATCTTCTATGTAAAGTATCATATCATCATCAAATAATGACAGTTTAACTTCTTCTTTTCCTATCTTTATTCCGTTTCTTTCTTTCTTTTTTCTAATTGCTGTGGCTAATGTTTCCAGAACTATATTGAACAGGAGTGGTGATAGCGGGTATCCTTATCTTGTTCCTGATTTTAGCGTGAAGGTTTTCAGTTTTTGACCATTTAGTATGATGTTGGCTGTTGGTTTTTCATAGATAGCCTTAATCAGGTTGAGATAAAGACCACCTATTCCAATTTTCTGTAGGATTTTTTATCATGAATGGGTAGTGGATTTTGTTGAATGTTTTTTCTGCATCTATTGAGATGATCATATTTTTTGTTTGTTTGTTTGTTTTTTGGTACCAGGGATGGAACTTGGGTCCTTGCACTTGTGAGGCCAGCACCAGAACCACTGAGCTAAATCCTCGGCCCTGATCATATGGTTTTTATCCTTGGCTCTGTTAATATAGTGTATTACATTTATTGATTTATGTATGTTGAACCATCCTTGCATCTCAGGGATAAATCCGACTTGGTCAGGGTGTATGATCTTCTTGATGACCCTCTGTATTCTGTTTGCCTGTATCTTGTTGAGGATTTTTGCATCTATGTTCATTAGGGAGATTGGCTGGTAGTTCTCTTTTTTGGTTGGGCCTTTCCCTGGTTTTGGAATCAAAGTAACACTTGCTTCGAGGAATGGATTTGGAAGCCTTGCTTCCCTTTCAATTTCATTGGTGAGTTTAAAGAGTAATGGTAATTGTTCTTCTTTAAATGTGTTGTAGAATTCAGCAGTGAAGCCATCAGGACCTGGGTTTTTCTTTGTTGGTAAATTTTTAATTACGTTTTCAATTTCACTGATTGTAATTGGGGTGTTTAGAATTTCTGTATCTTCTTCATTTAACTTTGCAATTCGTGTATATCTAGGAATCTGTCCATTTCTTCTGTGTTTTCCATTTTATTATAGTACAGGTCCTTGAAGTAGATATTGATGATCCCCTGGATTTCTGCTGGATTTGTTGTGACCACCTTTGCATTCTTAATTGCATGGATTTGAGCCTTTTCTTTCCTTTTTTTGATAAGGTTGGCTAAGGGTTTATCGATTTTATTTATTCTTTTGAAAAACCAACTCTTTGATTCACTGATTTTTGTCGTTCTCTTAGTCTCCATTGCATTGATTTCTGCTCTGATCTTTCTAATTTCCTCTCTTGAATGAGCTTCAGGTTTGTCATGCTCTTCTTTTTCTAGGGTCTAGAAGCTCAATTTTATAATTGGCTATCAGTGACTTTCTTAAACTTCCAGCCTAAATTCTCTTCACTTTTGAGAAAATGTCTACCAGGTACCCAAGTCTGAATAACCATGCTTTATCACTCAGCCTTTTTTTCAAAGAAAAAAAAATGGTGTTCCATGAAAAATCTGGCTAGTATATCTCACAGCTAAACCCCCAGTACAAGTGCTTTATCCCAAGACACAGAGCCATTCCACTTTGCTGTGCATGTAAGCACTGCATGCATGATTCCATTTTCTAGTGCAGAACGATTAAAAGATGTGTACTTCCAGGTTAATGCGGATAAAACTGATATTTAATGCTTGATCAAGAATATTCTTAGTGTGCTTGACTTTTTTATTTAATGTGAACATGTGGTAGTAAAGAATATAATGAATATTAGCCTTGTTTTATGCTGAGTCACCAGCAGTCCCCACTGCTTCTGTGCCCAGGTGCCAATGTCAACACACTGAAAGGCAGATAACATCTTTTGTTCCAACCTCATGGACATCCTGACGGACCTTGGAAATTCCAGGAGTTCACCACCCATGCTTGGAGACCTCTGGCTCAAGCTAGAGAAGATCCCTTTGTGGGGCAGAACTCAACTCCTTACTCAGCTCTCGTGGCCCTAGGGCACACTGGACTGATCCCCATAGAAATCCGATGTTTTGGTTTAGTTTGGTACCTGTTTGTTTTCATTCAGGCAGGTTTGTGACACACCACGGTGATGTCCATTTGGGGAACTGGTTCCTGCGTATGACGTATCTTTCATCCAGTTTCCTTCTCCCTTTCTTCTCTCCTGCTAATCCTCTGCCCCATCTCCAGAGTCTGCCTTCCAGTTTCCTGTCATCTTCTTTTATTTTATTCATTTGTTTATTTGTTATTTGTTTCAGGTTTCTCCTATGAGAAGAAACACGTTATGCTTAACTTTCTGAGTCTGGTTATTTTGCTCAGCATAATGGGCTGGAGTTCCATCCATTTTCTTGCAAATGACAGGATTTCATTCTTAGGACTGAATAATATTCCACTCTGTATCAGTAACACATTTTCTTTACCCATTCGCCTGTTGTCTAGGCTGTTTCTGAAGCTTAGCTATTGTGAATTGTACCATTAGACACATGGACATACGTATATCAGTATAGTATGATGTCTTTAATTCTTTCTGGAATATACCTGGGAGAGGTGTTGCTAGGTCAAATGGCATTTCTATTTTTAGTTTTTTGAGGAGTCTTCCTATTTTTTTTTTTAAATGAAGAGAAACATTGAATGGATATTGCGCTGTCAAAATAATGGTCTCTTACACTACAGATGTCGATAAGCTATGTTTTAAATCCCTTCATTTAGCAATAATAACAGTATACACTTAGACCCAGCATACTGTTTTGCTTACAGTGTTATTGCACTTAACCCTGCGCGCTCCTTTGAAAGCAGGGGCCTCATCCCATTTAGCAGATAAGGATGCTTGTGGCATTTAATTATTCACCTGAGATTGGATTCAGGGTGGATCTTGGACTCCTTTGAAACTCTTAATGGGATCCCAGAGTTAGTGGGATGAGAATAGACTATGAACATGAGTATGTAATTAACTATATCTTAATAAATAGATGATTATTAATCTTTTTTGTACCGGAAATTGAACTCAGGACCTTGTGCTTGTGAGGCAGGCATGGTGCCGCTGAGCTAAATCCCCGGCCTGATGATTATTAATCTTTAAAAACACATTAGTAGTTGAATAATTCACCCAGTGATATGGGACCAAGCAAAGCAAGGCCGAATGTGTAGGGCTGGGGTGGCAGCCTCAGGTACTGTGGAGGAATTATTCCAGTTCCCCAGTCTGCTACCAGGTGGAAAAGCCATGTTTCTGCTGCAAAATCTGTAAACATCTGCTCAGGTCTCTGCTGGGTACAGGAGGGAAGCGGTTTTCCAAAAAGTCCTACTGGAAGTGGCTTGCTTTGTTTTTCAGCACGTACATCTGAACTTCCTGGTTTTAAAAAGGGACGCACCGTGGGGTTTCTCTCCATCCCTGTGAGGGGCATACTTCTCTGGGGTGCATACAGTCAGTCAGAGCATTGGGAGGCTGTGCTGCAGTGTCCAGTGTGGTGGGAAGGGCCCCAGTCCATCATGCCTGTCCCAATCCCTCTGTTTCTTCAGCAAGTCCCTCACTGCCTGGGCCTCAGTCGACTCCGAGCATTCCTGCCTGGGTGGTGGCTCAGAGTAAGAGGTGCCTTTACCGCCTTTTCATCTAGATCTGTGTCAGAATTTGAAAATGCCCCGAATGAGGATGTATAGAATAATCCAAGTTTGCATATTAATTCAGGTTTTCATACACTGCTTAGAAGAGAGGGATTTCCCGTGTTAAGATTCTTGTTTGTTTTGCAGCTCTGAGGATTGGATTTAAGGCCTTTGCATGGAGCTGCACCCCCAGCACCACGCCCGCCTCTTTTTCCTTTAAGCTTTTGGTACAGGGTCTGGCTAAGTAGCTACTTAAATTGCCCAAGTTGGGCTCGAATTTCTGATCTTCTTGCTTCAGCCTGCAAGAGTGCTGAGATCACAGGTGTTAAAAATTCTTGGACCTTTTCCTATTTCAAATGATCAGTTACTCGTTTCAATCGTTTTCATCCTTATTCACACTTTCAGTTTCTCACATTAGAGAAACTATTCGGTATTTACACATGTGTGTCCTATTTATTGCACTTAAGAGGATGGCCTCAGTGTGCATCCATTTAGCCATAAATGACTCTAGTTTCTCATTCTTTATGGCTGAGTGGTACTCCATGTTATAAAAAAAGGGGTAGGGGTGGCGGGAGGGGAAGCGGAAAGGAAAGAAGGGAAAGGAAAAAATATGAGAAAGAAAAAAAAATGGAAACAAAGTCTATGTAAATAGGGAAGGGTGGAGGGGTGAAGGGCGCACAGGGAATGGGGAAAAAATAAGAACCAAGATGCATCATGTTCAGGTACAAACACCCAATAATAAATGTAAATGTATTGTACACCAAAAATATACCAATTAATATATAAATAAAAAAATTCTTGAATCAGGTTAAGTTTAAGTCATAAAATTGTGTAAATGTGGACTTCACTAAAAAATAAATTGTATTTGTGGTTCCAAGTAAGAACTAGCAATTTTAACATACAGTAATGTTTTAGTAGTGATTATTAATGAGCTGTCTGTGGTTTGCTGGTAAATATTAAGGTGTATTGTGAGAAATTGTGAACTCTTTAAAATGGGCACCCTCTAATTCTGCCACCAGCAAGAGTAAATCGAAAATATTTGTCCTCCTTTGCTTTCAGCCAGAGGCTAGTTAATCTAATTGTTTACCTATGTTAGGAAATAGAAATACAATTATAAGAATGCTATATATGTATGACAATCTGTAAGCACCTCTTTTTTCTAAGTCTGCATTTTATATTTTTACTGAAAAAATAATTTTGTTGCATTGCCTTTCCCCCCCAGATATTGTCAGAAAAATCATACAGAAGAAGTTTGAGCCCTCAGCTGATTATGAGAAGGTAATTTTTTTTTGTTGGCGTTTTGGTTACTAAAAACAACGAGGAGAAAAATTTTGGCTGACTTGAAAATAAACCTTTAAGTAGTGATTATTTAACCTGTAACTTTAATAGACTTTTTTGACTCAGGATTTGTGTGAAATACTGGAATACCTTATCGATCCCATTTGAAAGACAAGAGAACCTTCAAAAGGAGCATTGAAGAAAACCTTGTATGTTACTTAAAAATTAATACACCCCCAAAGAAATGTTAACTTGCTTTTTAGCTAAGCAGTGAAAAGTCTGGAAGTAGAGCTGTTTGAAAAACCCCTGGAAGCAGCGTGCGTGGCCATGGGAGATGCCGTGTTGGGAAGCAGCCCCCATCTGAGCAGTGTCTCCCGAGGGCCTGCTCTGTGTGTGCTCTTGGCCCAGGTGGAAGGGAGCAGGAGAGGAAGGTGGCCCTGCTGCATGGCAGGGACAGGCCCCGAGGGTTCAGAGGAAGGAAGCTGATCCCTAAGTGACGTGCGGGAGAACATGGAGAAAGATAGTTCATTCTAACCAGAAGCTCTTCCAAGGAGAAGAGACTGTAGGTCAGGGCAGTGGGAGGCAGCTGTTTGTACCCCAGGCTGGGTACCACGCGAGCGGAGAGGCCGGTGTGAGAGAAGCAGACCAGTGAGCGGCCGGGCCTGACGGCGGCGGAGGAGAGACAGGGTGGCGTGTCTGGAAGCTGTGTAGGCCCCTCAAGTGCCTCTGTCGACAGCCCTGGTGCTGCCTGTTCACTCCATTCACCCCTATGTCTTCCCGGAAGAATGTCCTTTTGATTTTGATGTGTTATCAGTGTAGGCTGCCCAGGAAACAGACGAATAACTGTTGCATGGAACACAGAGTAAGAAAAATGAGTTGTCTGTTAGTCACATTCCCGGTTCTCCGCACACTCTTTCCTCTCCTCCTATGACTGGTATCTAGGGATCAGTAGACAGAGGTCCAGATGGACATTTCTTACTGGCCAGCACAACAAATCTGAACGCCAGTGCTCCTGACCAGGGCAGTTAACTTCTGCCCAGTGGACAGTGAGTCAGCACTGTATTAGAAATCGTATTTGCAAATGGCCTCATCATATTCTCAATTTGCAATAAAATGATACTGAAGAGAAAAGCAAATACAGAAGGCAAAGAGGAACGCCTATCTGAGAGGCATTTCCATCCAACAGCAGGGAAGGCTGAGAGAGAGATGACCCTAGCGGAGCACTCACAGCCTCCCCAGCATGGTGGACCGCGTGTTTGGCGTGTTCATTCTTCTGTACTCCTGACCTCATTTATATCTTCCCAGTGATTGCTCATGTTAGTCTGTATCACTTGGCAGAGTAAAATGACTGCTGCCTTTATAGTTATCTTTAAAAGTAGCTTTCGGGGCCATGGATTTAGCTCAGTGGTGCCATCCCCTGCCTCGCAAGCACAAGGTCCAGAGTTCGATCCCCGGTACCAAAAAAAAAAAAGTAGCTTGCTACTGGCAGCTAGTAACCTGAATGCCACCTAGTTCTTCAAAGGAATGGGTGGGAACTGGGGACGGCACTTCAGTTGGATTCAGGCCTTGTAGGATGGTGTCCAGAGACCCCGAGTGAGGAGCCTGTCAAGTGTGAGCTAGGGCTGGGCCGCCACTGTCCGTGGCAGGGTTCTTAGCTGGAAAGCTCGTGTGCTTGGCATGGTTTTGGCTTTGGAGCTCCTGTGCACCAGGGATACCTGGGTAAAAACCACCAGGGTGGGGGTGAAGTGGAGAGGGGATGCAGAATGACCCGAGTTGAATGATCAGTGTAACTGTCACACCCTAGCTAGGCTTGGAATCTGATCACACTTCCTACAGCTGTCCAAGGAGAAGGGATTTAGTTGGGCAAAAGCAGAGCTTTCTGATGGGATTTAGTTTGAGAAGTTCTGGGTGTGTAAGGGTGGGTCCCCCTCAAACCAAGTCCCTGAGTCAAGGACCAAAGAGCAAGTCCTCTCTTTGGGAATACTGGCTGGAAATGGGGAAGGGAGGGCAGCCTATTCAGGGTGTGCTCATATGCCAGGGGCCCTGGAGCTGCCAGCTGCATCATGCAGGTGAGCCATGAGAAACTGCCAAGCACTGGCCTCAGATGAGCTCACAGGAAGGGTGAGGGAGCTGAGGTGTCTATGCACCAGGACCCAGGAGGTCCTGCTTAGTGCTGCTTGGGAACTGAAGACAGTCTTCATTCCCAAGTACTTCTGGCTTCCAGCGGATGCTGGCTACTTAATGCCACTCAGCAGTAGTTAGAAGTCTGAGACGACACAGGAGATGGCTAAGGCCCCAGGGCTTGGGTGGCAGCATGAGCATCTTCACACTGGCCCACACCCTCTCAAAACAGTCACACAGGGAAGGTCTGTCCAGGTGAGTGTCCTGGGGTGGAGTCTCCCTGGTTGCCCTTACATTGGGTCTGAATTTGATTCAGTTCTCATCCAATTCGCTTTGGGACCAGAATAGTGGAAGGAATTAAGTTCGTGAACCTCTGTACTTTGAAGTCTTTGACCCCCTCTCTTCCTTGAATTTTTTTTCGAGACTTTCTCTTTTGCTTGGTACAGTGTATTTTATTAATTGATATATCTGGGGTTCCCATTAGGAGCAATGCATGCTAAGGGTGTAACATGCCACAGCATGGGCCTTCTTCTGAGAGCACACAGTTGGCAGAGGAGAAGCCAAGCCTAAGACATATGCATAGATGTTACAGGCTGAATTGTGTCCAAAACTCCAAAAACCTCACCCCCACTAGCTAAGAAAGTCACTGTGTTGGGACACAGGATTTTGCAAGAGGCATTTTGTGAAAGGAGGTCATTACAGTGGGCCTTAGTCCACCACGACTGTAGTCCTTCTAAGAAGGGGAAATGACAGAGTCACACGGAGAGACCATGTGAAGGGACAGCAAGAAGGAGACCACTGACAAGCCAAGGAGGGAGGCTGCAGAGGAAGCCAGCCTGGCTCACACCTTGATCTTGAACTTTCCAGCCTCCACAGCAGCCTCGTTGTGGAAGCCACCGAGTCTGTGGTACCTTAGGTGGCAGCCCGAGCAGGCTGAGAGAGTGGGCCATGAGAATGTAAGACGGCAAGGAATGTGCACCATGCATGCAGTTCTGATAAAGGCTGGGAACGGTCAGTGAGGGAGAATGTCCTTGCACATGGGAAACCAGCGAAGATTCCGCAGTGGAGCTGGCATTTAAACTAGACTTAAAGGCAAGTAGAGCAAATGAGAAATGAAGTCTTACTTCCGCCAGGGAACCTTGGCCTGAACCACCATGCTGCTTACTTGCTTCTTAAAGCATGCTCTCAAACTATTGCATCTTCTCTGTGACAGGTAGAGCCACCATTGCTTGTCTGCATGTGCCAGCCCTAGGTTGGGACCTTTCCATTGTTTCCTAATCCTCAGAGGTCACATCTCCAAGGAGGAAGTGCTGCTGCTATAGTAGATGCAAAAAAACCCTGGAACTTACCTGAGGTCACCTAGTAGCCAAATGATAAAGCCTAGATTTGTGCCCAGACCAGTCCACCTTCAAACCGGCAAACACCACCAGCAAATATGAGACTCATTCTAGGCCACTGGGCATAGTCCTAAAATGAGTAATTTGGAAGAAACAGTTTTCAAACGAGTATCGTCAACTGTCTTCCGAGTGTCACAGCCTCAGAGGTATAACATGTACACATTAAGCCACAGAAATAATATAGAGAGTAATTATCTCTGGGCAGAAATGCTCCTGTCCTAAGTTGCCCTCTATGCCAACGTGACTAAATCATGCGTTTGCTGAGGATGGAATACTGAATGTGGTGCTTCACAGAATGGGCCGTTCAAGCATGTTTATCTCTGGCCTGTGATTTCAGAGAACCTGTGGCAGATCCCAAGCCAGTCCAGGAAGGGACTAAGACTTGGCATTATGCACCCAAGAGGAAAAATGAAGACCAGACAGATGAGGCTACAGAGATCAGAGAAGCGACTCTAACGATCCTAGCTCCTCTAGTAGGAAGCATAGCTGTGACATTGGCATAGCACATGCTAGATTCCAGGCATCCTTCCAGGAGACTGGCACGTGGTGACTCACAGAAAGACTGTCTCCAGCAGAGGTGTTGAGACAGTGATCATTATGGCAGCTCAGGTATCCAGCAGTTTGTTGCCCACTGGTACAAGTCATGGGCTCAAGATACAATACCGAGCAGTGCTGTTCCCAGCTCATCTCTCAGAGGATGGGGTGAGCCACCTCCAGATTCTCTGCATTCTGGCTGACTGTACAGGACAGGAGGGGACAACAGAATGTCACCCAGCTCACATGGTCCTGCAGAGAAAGTCTTGCTGCCTAGCCCTGTCAAGAAGTGGCTGCTCAATTCAATAAACATACAGTCCATAGTTCTGTCACCACAGAATGCCAGGTTTGGGGCAACTCAGGTAGACTATACTTACAACGACTTCCCATCAATAACTCATAAATACAATGCACGCCTCACCTTTTCAAGAAGAGTTCACCCACCCCTCCACCTGCTGTCTTGGTCATTCTGCTCACTCTGTCAGTAGAATCATGCATTTTCTTGTCATGGTTCCCTGGATTCATTTCCACATGGTCATAATTTATCTCCACTCTTACCTCTTGGTTCACTGTCCTCTAGATTTAGCTGGGTTGTCACTTCCTCATTTATTTCATTTCTCAGTTATTCCCTCTCCCTTTCTTGATGCTTTCTCTGGGGGTGGATGCAAGCTTGGGACTTGTCTCTGCTGCCTTCAGTGCCCTTGCTAGCTGTCACAGCTGGTGGATACCAATCTGGTACTTAGTAAAGGACAGGTCATCACACAAGGAATTTGCTGGGTTTGGATCCCCCGTAGCTGTCTGCGAGAGCTGCCTGCTTCCTGTCCACACAGAGGGAGGTGACGTACTGCCCACAAGAATGCACACTGCCCTTCCTGTAGGAGGAAAGTGAATTCTGGGGTTCCCAGAGAGCACGCAGAGAGCGCCGTGCAAGACAGGAGTCATTGCCCAAGGCTCATTTGTGCTCAGCGGCGAGGATGATGGCCACACACGTTGAAGGTGCCACATCAGGACATTTTAACCCAGCCATAAAAACCATACCGACTTTGTTCTCCTCAACAAGGATAGCCATATACATTGAGCCAATTAGCTTTAAGGAAAACTTATTGCATCCGCTTTATTTTTCTCACTTTGTTGTGGGTTGGTCCATCCCATCACTGCCCAGCCCCCGTCACAACTGCTGCTCAGGATCATTGGTGTGAGGCCACAGAGTCACTCCTTTAGGACGTCAGTTTGTTGGGTTTGATTGGGCAGTTGTTGTATGCCGGTCCTGCGGTCCTGCACTGGGTGCCGGGGAGGAAACGGAGAGAGTGACAGTCAATGGGTCTTGGTGTTCCTGGCGTAGCGAGATACGGGCGATGGCCACGTGGAAGCCCATTCCTCTGAACAGGGTAAGGGCGGCCAAAGGGCAGCTGCAGGGCTCCGTGAAGGGTGAAGGAGGGATGGGCAGTGCCCGGACTCCCCGGAGGAGGCAGCACCTGCCTTGGACTTAAGTTTCATTAGGGATGGGCATTATGCTGGGCAAGGAGGCTGCATGGAAGAGCTCAGAATGAGAGGGGACATGTCATAGGATGACAACAAACGCCTTTAGAACAGTCAAGAATGGCCAGGAAGCGGGGGGGATGAAGCCAAGGTTAGGTGGCGGAGGACCACATTGAGACCTGGGCATTACAAATGCTGGGAATCCACGGAATACTGTTAAGCAACGGACCGACACCTTCCTATTCCGTTGTGCAGGTGACACTGGAAGATGTCCCCTTTGGCGCTAGGCAGCCCCTGGCTCTCTAGTTTATGCAGATCACATGGTCAGCGTGCACAGCATTTGTAACTTTTCCTGTAATTCTCTTCTTTTTTTTATTTCTTTTTTCTAATTTAATTTTATTGGTACATTTTAGGTATACAATATAGTGATGTAATTCTCTTCTCATAACTGAGCAGTGAGTGTACTAAGAGTCAAACGCAAGTTCTAGAACTTGACTCTACTCAAAACCCTGTTTTCCAAATGCACACTGAAGTCTTGTATCCTTTTTTTGTGTCAGTCTTTCTGTTGCCTGGTTTTTTCTGTGTGGGATGGTAATGTTTTCTCTGTGTTGGCTGTGGTTATTTACTCGTGTGTATTTTTCTGTTTTCTTGGTGCATGCTGCCTCTGCCACACACAAACTCCTCAACTGCTTTGATTCCCACAGCCAGAAAATGTAGTCTTGGCTCTGAAGGTAAAGTTCATGTCTGTTGTCTGTTCTTTGTCTTACGCCAGCGAGTGAAGTCACCTCTGTCAGAACATCCTTTTCTTCCCTGTGTTGGTTTTTAAATTATTTGTTTCATTTTTGTTTCTGCCACCATCTTTAATCCTCCCTTTGCCTTATCCTCAACATGATCTATAAAACGCTCCAAGGTCTTGATGCATCAGAAAGTAAATCTGTATATTACCGGACCTTGGGAAGACCTTAGCCTTGAAGTCACCTCTTAAAATGATGCATTCTCATTCCTGAGACTGTGTGATGTTTAGAAGGTAACAGCGGGAAAATTGTGTATCTGATATAAAATTTGTTCCTGGAGCTAAAACTTGTGCATTGTGAACATTTCAGTATCCCCTCTCTCCTGGTTTTGGGTTCAGAAAGGAGGGGTTAAAATGACTTACTATTTCTAAATTGTTTAGAAGTAGTAAATAATTTGGAATATTTGCTGAGAAATGATAGAAAAATATGGAAGATGTAGGTTTGGAGTGTCTGGGCTGGTTTCTCAATAAGACCTCTGATCATCCTCAAAGACAGGATATAATGGCTATTCATGGACAAGGGAAGGGGCTTATGTATCTACATGAATATGACTGATGAATGCAGCAAAATTCAGCCACTTTCCTCTCATTTTAGCCTTTTAACCTTAATATCAAAGTAGATAATATTCAAATGCCACGCACCCAATTTAATACTTGAGCATTTGCTCATTGACTTAATTACTGCATATTGAATGCTTACTGTGAGCTGGACACTTGGCCAGTTGTTTTCCCCTTAAATCATGTAGTTCCCTGCCCTGTACAGTGTGTTCACGGGATCGATGCTAATACGCTTTCCAGGTTGGGGAGCCTGCAGCCAGCCCCCTGCTGGGCTGCAAGTGATTTCCATTTCGGCGCCGTCTTCAAGGCACTGCATTTGGGCCTAGGGATGCTGCTGCACCTAAGTCCATCTGCTTGGTTCACAACAGACCAACTAAGAGGCCAGGTGCTGAGGCAAGGAGAGGGACTTTATTCTAAAAGCCAGTTAGTTACACTAGAAGATGGGTGACTCTTGTCACGAAGCCCATCTTGCTAGGAAGCTGATTTAGGGGTGGTTTATACAGGTGTTGATGGGAGTTTGAAGACTGGCAGGCATCTTCCCACAACGGGGAACAGATGATGTGTATCTGATCCTGGTCACCCAGTCCCAAAATGCTTGTCAGCTCTGCCCATCTTAAGAACAAAGATCCTTATTTCCTGGGCTTATTTTTGTTACTGACTCGCTTGCCTGCATGCAGTTCCTAAGACAACAGACAGGCTGGAGGGGGCAGCTGCCCCAGGCCCTCTTGCCCACCACAAACGCATGGTAATGAAAGAAAATATACTTCACCTGATTACTGGGGAAGACAAACGCGAGATGAAGGTAAGTAGCAAGACAGATGCAAGGTCTTGTCTCGATGCTTGACTTTAGGACCAAGACCCTGTGTCCTGTTTTATTTTGTTCAGCCTGACTTCAGCATCCGTTGCTATCTGGCTTGTCCATTAGTTGCCAACTCCCAACCTGTAATTTTCCTCAGTTCTTTAGAAGTGTGAGTACCAGCTGGCAGGAATTTGAACAAGATCAAGTTCCATCATCCAGTTGTATTAAATTTTACTTATCTCAGAAGAAATCAGCAGTGATAAGGAAGTATGTTTGGGTCCCGTGATTCTATCTAGAAGTGGTGCTGGCTTCTGGGAATGCAGGGCCTGCATGAGCCATGAGCTGTGGAATCCATTACTTTGCCAGCGCTGTGCCACAGCATGGAAAGTGCCATTGATTAAGGCTTCACATTGTGCCCAGGACTCAGTTAGGCAGTCTCTAATCATACTATAATTTTCACAATGACCCAGCAAAATCCATACTATTATTCCCAGGGTATGGGTGCAAAGAGTAAGTGGTCTGTGTTTCACTGTCTGCCTCAGAAAGTCTGAGCCTTTCTTCTAAATTTATATACATTTCAGATTCTTTAGTATCTATGAATTTGTCTGTAATTGAGCCAACTCAAATTGCTTCAAATCTTTAATAACTTCTACTTGTCCTGTCATTCTGGTGTAGAGCACCCTGTATGTAATGTAGTTCATTCATTGTGCAGGTATTCACGCCCAGATTTATCAAACCATTTGAAAACACAAACTACCTTTGGGGCTGAAATTATACTATTTCTTGCTTGATCTTATACTTTCTCTCTTCCTGGCAATTGAAAGGAAGATAGTAATCACTTGGTCCCGTATTCTGATAACTCAATTCTCTGTTCCCTCTTTCAAGAAGGAGCTTTGAAATGGAAAAATACAGACACACACCTTGATTCAACTCATGATGGTGACTAGGTTAAAGACACGAAACGTGTACACTGTGGCATGTTGTGTGTGACAGTTTGTGCTGTTTCTTTTGTTTGAACTGCAGGTCGCCCACTATGAAATTGGCATTATCATCTGCGCTGTCCTGGGACTGCTCTTCGTTATTCTGATGCCAGTGGTGGGGTATTTCTTCTGTCTGTGCCGTTGCTGCAACAAGTGCGGTGGAGAAATGCACCAGCGACAGAAGCAAAGTGGCCCCTTCCGGAGGAAATACTTTGCAGTCTCCCTCTTGGTGATTAGTGTAATTATAAGGCAAGTAGATGCTTGAACAACAGCTGATCTTGTTTGAGGGTGACCGTCTCATGTTTTAACTTAAACCCATGAGCTTGAAACAAAACATCAGCAACAACAAATGGAAAATGGGGAACAGAAGTGCTTGTCTAGGAGGAATGAGGAGCTGTGTCTATCACTGAACATTAGTCCAGTAAGGAAGCTGCCCTGACTTACCTGATGAGCCAGCCCTCGGGTATTTTCCCCCCATGTAGATAGCCTGATAGATCTTGGGCTGCTGAAAGCATTTACCTCTGAGAGGAGCTCTCTCCTCTAAAATAGATCTTCAGAGGCAGACAGTACGTATGAAGACACAGCCTGTATTTGCTAGTCTGTTCCAAAGGAATCTTGATGGATGGACAGTTACTATATTTGAAAATCCAAGAATATTGTGGAATATAATGAGCTTTCTAATAATGTCTAACCCCATTTTCCTTAAATTTGCTATTCATCTGCTGGCCTTTTTTACTTTTTTTTTTTTTGGTACTGGGGATCGAACTCGGGTCCTTGTGCTTGCAAGGCAGGTGGCGGAACCACTGAACTAAATCCCCGGCCCTGCTACCCTTTTTTAAAGTCCCGAGCTTATATCTCATAATTTAGGATGTCCCTGCTGGAATTCCTGCTGTTGCCAGAAGTTTTCCAATTGACAGATCACAAATATATTGCTTTTAACATGAGGCTGATTTGTTGAGTCCAAATTGATTCCCCAGCTGAGGAATGTGCATCAGGACACTGGTCCCTGCTAGTGATTTTTGGTTATTGCTCTCCACTTCCTCATTTTTTCAACTGTTGTTTCGTACGGCAACAGAAACAAAATGCCTGCTATATGAACAGTGCTAGGCCTGTGGATGCAGGCACAAAGGCTGGTAGTCAGCATCCTCCTTGTGCTTCTCCAAACACTGCTTGCTCAGTAACTGTGAATAAGATTTTTCAACTTTTATTAAGTAAGTGATAATTAGGAATTTATGTACAAACAGTAAGTCCTAGTTGAAGCTTTAGCTGCAAACCCAAGAGGAAAAGTCTGTTAAGTGTGGCCATCGATAGGAGTCTGGTACAATGCATGGTTTGCGATGACCACGAATGGAAATGCAGTGTGTTCTCTGAAACACCTGGAATCGCTCAGCTGTGTTGATGGGAAACGGTTCCCTGTGGAGATGAACTGAAAAAAGCAGGCTGCAGACCCTGTATAGAACATTGTAACTATGATAAAAATGAAAAAGGAGGGAGACACAAACGTTTGCAAACAGCGCATATGCAAGGATTAACAAACAGGCGCACAGTGGTTATCTCTGAAAAGGAAATTGTGGGTCGTTGGCTAGAAGGCAGGAACTTGCTGCTGCAGCTGGGCCGCTGGCACTGTGGAATTAGTGTAACAGGCTCAGGTGCCACCCACTGAATTAATTAAACTAGACAGTAAACTGGAACAACAAAAGCCAACGCATTACCACTTGTTCCAGTTCAGTGATTATTTAAGCAAACACATAATTTTGCTGAAACTGTGTGATAATAGGCCTTAATGATGTTGGTGTGTAAACAGGATCCTGTGGATGTCATTCAACTTCATGCCCTGCTGGTCAACCGCGAGGTTCCTTGTTTGCTCTGAGCTTCACGTGTGCATTGGCCTTCTCTCCCCTCCCTCTCTTCTGTTTTCATCTCTTTTCCGTCTCGGATTTTTGCCTCAGTCTGTCTGTCTCTGTCTCTGAAAATACTCTGTTTCTTTCCATGGGTTCTGAAAGACAGTTTAGGATCCAATCGATGGGAATTCCAGGCATCTTTGTCTCTGCTTTGTGTTTAGAGGACTCTGGGGCGCACACAGACCCCTGCAGCTCTGGGGAGAGTTACCGCCTCCTAGCTGCCACGCGAAAGACAGGTACAGCCCAGAGACCTGTCAGGCTCAGCAGGGTCCCTGTGCATTTCCGACAAGCCTGAGTCTTACACGCTTGATTCTCCCCAGGGCAAGACCCGCTGTGTGGCTCTCTCCATCCATGTCCATAGACTTAGACGCCAAAGACAGGCTCACGTAGCAAGTGTCGCTTGGAACTCTTGCCCTGGGCTTCTCGTTAGAGGAGTTACTTACTCATCAGGTTAATAATTTTCACCTGATGTAAATACATAGGTCATAATTTAAGGGAAATTTTTTATTGTGTCTAGTTATTCATTTATCCGAATAAACGTTTACATATGTAATGATGGGCTTTCCATTTTTTTTGAATGAAGTATATACTCTGTATTGCATTCCTCTTTTTAAATTAGACTTCTATTTGATTTTATTCGATTATGTGCTAAATCACTCTGAACTGATCGCATTATTTGCCTTATGTTTAAAATATTAAAATATATACACAATAAAGGTATAAAGTCAAAAATATACTCTGCTTCCATTTAAAATGAAGGCCACAACTATTTTTTTTATTCTTGAGATTCAAACCAATCAAATAAATTTAGATAAGCTTTTTCTGTTTTCAGTATATTTGTATGAAAACTTTCTAAAGATGCATGCCATTTTACATTAATTTGAAAATCATAATTTTAGATTTCAGTGAAATTAAACCAAACTTGATCAACTGCTTGAGACAGATTTAAAACAAATTTGATTTCACATAGTACACTGAATGAATTTATGTATAAAATATATTATTATTATACAAATGGGTCTAAATTGGAGTTGTGTATGAGAATTATTTTTTTTCTTTAAATTCAGATAAGTTTAAATTTGGCCTTAAACTTTTCAATTTACTGTAGGTATTTTGATGTTTTCCTTTTGAAACCTCTACTGGTTTGCAGGTATCTTAAATGTCATGAGTTGAATAACAGCTAAATATTGTTTTCAGGTAACCAGAGCTAGCCAAGAAAATTAAAGCTCTGGGGAAAGAGAACATTTCCATAGTATGTCACCAAAATCAGAAGATCAGATCAAAACGGGGGACAGAATGTCAGCCAAATTAGAAGGCAGAGAGAACAAAAGTATGTGTGAGTGTCGTTATCCCTCTCTAAGGCCTCTGGGTTAACATTGACTTCAGCAGAAACCCGGTACTATTGATAAACAATCTTTGATATGATTTTGCAAAAATTCTCCCATAAACTTACAGCAGTTTTAAAATTAAAGTTGGTTTTAAAATTAGCATTGACTAATTTTCATCCATCCCTTTTTATTTCAAAAATTTTAAATCTTTTTTTCTTTTTTTTTTTGAGAAAGCCAGTTTCTCCGAAGTTCTGGGGAAAGCCTCCAGGTGTGGAGAAGGAGGCTTCCCTAGTATATGTGCAGGTCACAGGGCGCGATCTTTCTCTGAGCTTTTCTAAAGGCAGCTGTGCAATGTGAGAGTCCGGGTGACCTGGACCCATGTTTGTGAAGTCTGCCTGAGCAGTGCAGGAAATGGAATTTCCACCTCTCACTGTGGACTCATTCAGCAGATGGGTCTCAGTCCGGGAAAAGCCAGGTTTCATCTCCTTTCTTTTGCACTTGTCATCTCTGCTTTTCAGAATTTCAAAAAACCTATGAAGAGAGAGAGGAGAGGGAGGGAGAGACAGAGAGAAAGAGAGAGAGGAGAGAGAGAGAGAGGGAGAGAGGAATTTAGCTCAGTGGTTTCACTGCCTGCTGTGCAAGCGCAAGGACCTGAGTTCGATCCCTGGTACCAAAAAAAAAAGAGAGAGAGAGAGGGAGAGGCGTGTGCCTCAACATCCTTTGTGTATGTCTAAGTCTCTAGTGCAAGAACGCAGCTTTACTGTCACCCTGGGAACTGATGGAATCACAGGCATCCTCAGGAAGCTGGCCATATTCGAGTTCATTTGTGTTAGGATGTGATCATCAGTTCCTGGCTTGAAGGTCACTGGAGTCTAATAAAAAAAAAATTGAACTATAGCGTGCCTGAAAATCCTAAGAGTTTCTTAATGAGAATGAGTGGTCTAGTAACTGTAATTTTAAATTCAAAAATTATCTTTAAAAAATAAGAGATCAGTTAAAGTCTGAAAGCTTTTATTTGACTTTCATTGGCTAATTTAATTCAGTAGCAATTTTTAGAAAAAAAATAGACACACATTTTAAAAAAGCTTTTTTACTCTAAAAGCTTTTTAAGTATTTACTAATAGGGGGCTGGGGATTTAGCTCAGTGGTGCGGTGCCTGCTTTGCAAGTGCAAGGTCCTGAATTCAATCCCTGGTACTCCAAAAAGAAAAAGGAAAAAAGAAACTAGAGCCTGTATTCTTATTGCTTCTCCGCCTTTTGGCTAAGATCAAGTGTAGTATTTACTAATAGGTGTATATGTGAGAAAATTGTTTTACCATAACAAAATGTAGAACTATTAAATATAATGTTAATATGCCATAAAAAATAAAAATTCCTATCTTCTGCTAAAAATTTCAAGACATTTTGTTCTGCATAAAAACACACATTTTTGATAGTTTGATGGCATGTCAAGGGCTAGTGAAGGGTTGTTCACAGAAATTTTATTCCTTTTTTATGTTAGGTAAATCTCTGTATTCTCATATCCTAATAGTTTGTGGGTTGTTGTTAAAACACAAAAACATAAATTCATGTGATTAAAAAAAATAAATGAAACAGTAGTGTTTAAATAAACAACAATAAAAAGTATCTTTGCTGGGGACTTAGCTCAGTGGTTTTGCCACCTGCTGCACAAGCACAAGGACCCGAGTTCGATCCCCAGTACCAAAAAAAAAAAAGTATCTTTGTGTGGAGGGGTAGAGCGTGGTAGGCAGGTGCACCCTCCGCCTAAAAGTACCCTTTCTTTATCCTCTATTTTGTTGAAACAAAAGGCCGAAGTTAGAGATGGCAAATGGAGATGACCAATGGTTCCGTGCAGTACATTTTAAAATCGGTAACTAATATGTCAAAGTGGGGAGATTTTTCATGAGAATCCAGATCTCCAGATGTCTGTGGATATGCAGAGGTCTTGGGCGACATCATGCTGGCGCTCGATGCCTCTGTTCCTGGTGTCGGTGTTTCCAGAGCCACAGAGCAGCCGCCTCACCCCACCTTTGTTCTCTCAGCCCCCCGAGACCCATGGGTCCACTTTGCCCTGTGCTTTCTGCCTGCTCCAGCAGCCATTTGCATGTGTTATCCTAATTTAAATATAAATTTACACTCTGCAGAAGTCTGCAGATCAGCCTTGTAAGTTGCTGTCTGCTATCGCAGAACTCTGTGTAGTACTTTTTCTTAAAGATAATCAATATGTTTACTTTGACTTGAATCCACATGGATTAGCAAAAACGTGAGTCTTTATAAATAACTAGCATTGAAATTCAGCATACTGAAATGTTGCGTTGCGATTCATTTTTCTGACTGATGATCCTGTGAGTCAAGGCATTTATTCACTAAAGGAATAAAGACCAGTTTCTGACTTAGACTCTCCAAACAGGTGGTGAATCTTCTAAATTAACTGCATGAAAGGAAAGCCCAGTCCTTCAACGCCCTCATTGAGGGACAAGGGGACAAGATTGTGTTATGCAGGACTGACACACAGTTTCACCTCTTAAACATAGGTAGAAATAAAGACTAACTACATGTGAAGGGAGAAGTGCCCCATCAGAACGGAGGGAGAGGTGCCTGGGAACTAAAGCAAGGAGCTCAGTGAGGTTCAGCAGACGTGGACTTCTCAGTTCACTTTGACTTCTTATCTGGCCAGATGGGTCTGGAGCATGAGGAGTGACTGAAATAATTTGGGCAGGTTGAGGAGACAGAGCAAGGGTGCCTTGGTGACTATGGGGTATATCCGGGGCTGATCCTTACTGGTCATAACATAGACTGTTTTGAATTTGCTCTGGTAAATAAAGCTGCAAGTGCATTGCTATAATCCAAATTTTGGTTGTGTGTGTGTTTCCTCTTCACACAACTGGGACCATTATTTTGAGTCATTTGGCCTTATTTGCCATGTTTAATAACTTATTGGTGTGGTGTAATGTCTGTCTCATAAGAACCTATCCCAGTATGATACTAATGGATGATAAGGCAGTCATTCCAGTTGGCACAAAATATTACAAATATTCATTTCATCTGCCATCAGAAGGAACCCCAAGCTAAAAGAAAAAGAAAATTAGAGATTTCATGAACATTCAGTGCCCCTCTCCTTTGCAGCTTCAAGAGCACCTATCCAATGTAAGCTGGATCAGATCCATTTACCTAATTGGATCTAAAGCTCTAAATGGATCTTTTCGGTTTTAAGATGACTGCTGAGGCTCACAAAAGAAAAGTCACTTTCTCATGCTTGCACATAGAGTAGAGGAAGCAGGACCCAAATCTGGTGTCTCCTCAAGCACACCAGATTCTCTGCAGCTCCTTAACCATGAGATACTGCTTGATTCGGAGTGTTATACAGGCATTGGTGGGGGTGTTTGGGAACCTAATGGGTTTTCGTAACACTGCTATGGGAAAATAGGTTTTCAGTGAGACCAGCAGACCAGCAAGGAATCACTGCTTCTTGGAGTGCATCAGTACTGGAAGTAGGGTGAATGTCCATATTTACCCAGGACTCAGAAGTTTGCTGGGGACGCAGGATTTTTCAGTATAAAACTGAAGCTTGATCACCCAGCTTGCAAATATATGCATTCACAAAGCTCCCAAAATTGCTTTGCTGAAGTTGCAATGTATTGATTTTCTGCATTTTTTTCTTAAAATTTGCCTATTGTCTGCAAAACTTGACTGTAAAAATTATATCCACACCTTCCATTGGATGGTTTCAAAAAGTTTTGTTAGTTGCTTCTGTAGGTAAAGTAGCAGGTGTTGTGCTTAGTTTATGTACTTCCTTGCTGCCCTCTAGTGGAAAAATCCAACAGCCCTGTAGCAGTTAGCACTTTTCAACGTTTTAAGTATTCAAGGGCTCTGCTGTAAAAACAAAGCAGTTAGTTAATTTACAGACATTCCACCTTTAAAGACCTACCTGTTTAATGACTTACTACAGACTGAGGACCTGTCTTTTTTTGTACAGTTCTGTACATCTTGTTTATAGAGCATCAGTGTCTTTTTTTTGGTACGGTACACCTGGTTTATACAGTACTGTAATTCTTGTTGATTGTACTGTCTAGCACAGTACTGTAGTTTGATGTTGTTATACATTACTATACTGCACGTGAGTTACGCAGAGAAAAGCAAAGTCATCAAGTTAGAATTTCCTTTGACCGTGTCTTTGTTCTGAATACTGTGATATACATACTGTTTATAGTTCTTCATTTAGTGACGAATTCATTTAACGACCGAGTCCCTGAGGCATAACTCAGTCGTTAAATGAAGAATCATCCTGCCTCTGCTGTTTTTGTACTTTATATAAAATGCGGTCATACAGGAGGTATTCTATGGTGTGTGACTTCTCCTGTAGCATTTTAATGTGAAAGTAACTTATTTTTACTGCACTTCGTTATTTATTTTGCCCGAACGGACAGTATACAAACAGACAATTATAGAAAACAAGGATACTAGAAGGCCCCATTGACTGGTCCTTTCGTTATTTTTGTGTCTGTCTCCCTTGCGGGAGAGCAGAGGTTCGCAGTGTGTGTGTGCACAGGTGGTGAGGGTTGTGTTCACAGGCGGACATCTGGATGCGTGCGATCAGATCACGCTGCCTTGTCACCTAGGTAACCTTATTCTCCACAATTCATGGTGAGCACTGTTCATTTATTGGCGTCATTTTGAACAGGATACTTTGTCTTGGATGAAGATTTGTCTTCTGGGAGAGCTGAGTCCTGTTTTGCGGCTTCATATGGCAGCGGTGTCCCGTGGGGGACCTTAGTGGACAGGCTGCTCCCAGAGAGGACAGGGGCAGAGAAGGTGGCCTTTCTGTAGCCTCTTCCTGCCCCTGCCGTGCTGAGGATCGAGGATCATGCCTCACACCGTAAATGTTCTCCCTTCTTCTGCAGCATCGGCATCTTGTTTGGCTTTTTGGCCTGCCTCCAAGTGAGGACCTGGATCCAAAGGACCCAGAACCTGGCAGACAGCAACTTGAAAGACTTGCGGACACTCCTGAACGAAACTCCAAAGGTAACGCCCCCAGCCTAAGAGCGCTCATGGCACTACATGCTCTGGGCTTATCAAAGACTCTGAGCCCATGTCTAGCCCCTCCCTGCAACCTTCTGGGAGCCCAGCAAACCCATGTAGCTGGTGTTATCTTTTAATGTTGGAGATGAAGGAATAAAGACCATGCAGGTGATCTTCAGGAGTACAGAAGCATAGTTTCAGAATTAGTATTCTTATTTTGCTTGATTTTATTTTATTAAAGTATAACAAAATCATAATACATATTATAAAGCTAGTTAATTTTAAGAGTCTCATGGTTGTTTTTGAAGCCTTTGGAAACTCATATCCTTTCTTTTGGGCAGTGTAAGGAACTCCTTATCACTTGCACAGTTGCTCTTATAATGGAATCCTTGATTGTAAACATGCATGTGTATAAGTGTGTCACCTTCTAACTTACCCATTCATGTGCACACGGGTTGTCTTTGGGTAAGGAGGACAGAAGGGATGAAGGAGTGGTGATGGGGGAAGGATCTCTTTTCCTGTATCCCAGGAGTTGCTGTGTTACCTCCTCAGAACATTCTTTGGGAATGTGGCTGGGGAGGAACTCACCTAAATATGCGATGCTTGTGAGTTCCAAAGTCAGCAGGGGAGAGCCTGCCTCCTGGATTGATTGGAAAGTCTGCTGGCAGCCATGGACCTCCACACACGGGCTTTTTTCTTCCAAGTTTATTCTATCCTAAAAATATTAGATATTAAGTGTGTGCTGTTTTTTTTTTTAAGTAGTTGGAAATAAAACAAAACAGATGCACGCATTTTAAAGCCCAAGAATAGGGGAGTTAACATTATGGTTCCATAGCCAGTACGTGAGATGGAAATGTTTGCTTTTCCCAATCTGTGAATAAAAATTCATAATATTTCTTACTCAACATTCTAAAGAGTCCAAAGATAAACTTTCCCAGAAAAATTTGGACAACAGCGATGGCTGGTGAATTTTGGGCTTGCTGTCATCACCTTCAGAGGATAGGAAATGGCTATGCCTTGGGTGGAAACTAAGCTGGTTCAATATATGTGAAAGAGTCTAATAAACCTATAGAAACTGGGCGGAGAATGTGAATGTGTAATTGATAGAATAAATACAACTGGCCTCAAACAAAAGATGTTTAGCTTATTCTAGTAATTGTAGAAATGAAACTATAACCAATGATCTGTATTTTCACTAAGAAGGTTGTCAGTAGTTGTTGAAAAGTAACTCCCAGTGTTCCAGAGGGGGAATGGGAGATGGGTTCTCTGAGCTACCGTAGACGGCAGGGTAAGCAGCCCCATCAGAGGCCAGTTGGGAAGAGCCAATAAAATGAACCCATTGTGCCACACTGCAAATGGCTGCAAATTCTTGGTAGTTCCTCAAGTCTAGAGACGGAGCTGTTTCCCATCCCCTGGAGTCCAGGGTGTCTCTGTGATGTGTTTGTGGCAAGGACATTTTAGTGGACATGACCTTGTGGTAGTTTTGAGCTGTGGCTTTCAGAGGGCTTGCTGTGGCTACTCTTACTGCCGTGACTCGGTTCACCCCATGCTGGTCACTTGAAAAATACAGGGTCATGTGGAACTGTCTCCAGCCATGCTGTCCCCAACAAGAAGATCCACATGGCCAGTCCACAGAATCATGAGACATAATAAATCACCCCAAGCAACACATTCAGAATAAATAACCTCCTATAAAATGATGTATGTATTTTTTTGGTCAGTAAGACTGAGAGTGTCAGGAAATAGAAACATTTCTAGAACTTGCTGGGTTTTTGTTTTAATTTTTTTTTTTTTTTGGTACCAGGGATTGAACTCGGGTCCTTGTGCTTGTGAGGCAGGCAGCGGAACCACTGAGCTAAATCCCTGGCTTAAAATGTTTTGATTCACAATTTTTGGTTAGTTTCAGGTCATTTTTTTCATGTTAAGTATCTTTATAATCTTTGTATTGTGACTTTGGACCTTTCAAGGGCAGTTTCATGTCTTTTTCCTTTCCAGCAAATTGACTATATATTGGCTCAGTTCAATACCACAAGGGACAAAGGATTCTCCGATCTGGACAGTGAGTACCATTTAAAATTGGCTTAAATTTTGTTTGATCGTGTTTTGTCTCTAAAGATACTGTGGCCACCTCCCATACAATATGGACTAAGAAATGAAGTAAATGAAGATGGGGAAACAGAAACAATTACCTGGCATTATTGACAATTTGCAGTCTGTTACTGGAGGATTAAAATCCAGCATTTACTGAAAGCTTTTGTTTCATGAGCAGGAGGAGATTTTCCTTGGTATTGTGCATTTATTGAGAAGCCTCTGCTTTCTTGGGTCACAAGCACTGTTCTTCATTCCTTCTGTGGGAGAGAAAATGTGTCCCTACCACTTGCCCTGTTAAAGTGGGCCTCAGAAATAAAAAGGGGACAGTGCTGGATCCTCCATGCCACAGGAGTCTCACAGCTTGGCCCAGTGGTTGTCAACCAAGGGCAGTGTCTGGAGGCACATTTGGTTGGCAGTTGTGGTACCGCATCTGTTGGCAGAGGTCAGGGATGCTGCTCGGCATCCTAGAATGCACACCACAGTGCCCAGAATGTCAGTAATCCCACTGTGGAGAACCCTGGTCCAGCTGAAGAGACAGGCACAGATGCAGTTACACACGCTCAAGATGGTAAACCCTGTGTTCATGGCACAAATATTCTGTGGGTCCATGGTGGCTATTGTTTTTCTGGGGCGCTTTGATGTGAGGACTTCAAAGCGTGTGACAAAACCTCCCCATCAGAGTCAACACCTGAACAGGGTCTGCATTGGAAAATGGAGTTCCAGGGCAGGAGGAGGGAGTGGAAGGTGTAAGGAACTTGCACTCATGCAACCTTCTGCTTCTTTGAACCCAGATATTAATAAACTGCTGGGAGGCAAAATTCACGACCGACTAACACCTAAAGTGATCCCTGTTCTTGATGAGATCAAGGCCATGGTGACAGGTAAGATGGTGGCTCCATCCTGGAGAGCAACTGAGGGAACACTCTATCCCGGATTTTCCTCAGAGTTGGCAGGTGTGAGAGCTGAAGTCTGTCACACAAACAGACCAGATAAAGATGCACGGTGACACAGTAGTTTGCTTGTTTTTCTAAAGCTTGTACCAAAGCCATTATATTGGTGACCTAAAAAAGTGATTTGAAATGTTAGTGCCAAAATTGTTTTTGTAGATAAAGTTTTATTGGAACACAACCATGAACATTTGCTTGGGTTCCATCTGTCACTGCTTCTGAGCTATGATGGCAGAAATGGGTAGTTGTAACAGAGACCATACAACTAACCTACAAGGCTGGTATGTTTACTCCCTGTACTTTTAACAAAGACACATTTGTCCTCTGATATAGAAGATGAGTAAGCTATAGAATTTTAGGGTTTTTTGAGGTGTATTGGTTTCTTTTTCCTTTCTCTTCTGATACAGTAACTTTTAGAAGCAAGAAATCTACATATATCTTACCTTAAGCTCCACTCTGAACAGTGGTATACCTGAGCAGATGTACTTTAATAATACACGTATTCTATTGCAATGAAAAAGAGACCTCAGGGACACAGAATAGTCCAGTCTTCCACATATTGACAGAAATTTCTGTGCTGGGTACTGCATGGAGAGGACAGTTTCACCTCTGTAAAACGTTCAGCCAGTATGAATTATGCTTTCGAGAGCTTGTATTTCTGAGAAAAAGGGCATGAAGGATGGGACCATGTGGAAGTTGTACAATTGTGCCTGTTCCTTTTGGCATTTGTTAGGGTTCAACAATCCAGGAAAATGTACCGAATCAAGAGGGTGTGCGGAACAGGCCAGGAGTTGGTAGGACTGGTCTTAACGATTTGGAAGGGTCCCTCCGGTCCTTCCTTGGACCTTGCAGGGGCCCAGAGTAGCTGAAGGTGGGTCCTCTGACACCGATGCCTTAGAAGTCTCCAGACATCTGTTCTCTTCATCTCCAGTCATTTCCTGTCCAGGCCAGGAAACACCCAGAGAAGGGAAGTGACCCTAAAGACCCAGGCCTCCTGCCTTCATGTCTTTGCTCCTCTCAGGCAGTTACTTCCTCCCTCCCTCCTTCCTTTTCTCTTACTCTCTCTCTGTTTTCCTCCCTCTCTTTTCCCTCCTTCCTTCCCTCCCTCCTTTCTCTGGCTCCTGCCTGTCATTTCCCTCTTACTCCTGTCTTGGAGATCCATCTCTAGAGTCGCTTCTTCCTCTTATAAAGACACCAGTCCTGGCCAGTTAGAGTCCCACACTTACAATCTCATTTAACCTAAAGACATTTTCTCCAAATAGAGTCACACTGGGGGTTAGGACATCAGCATGGTCGTCTAGGGGACTCTTGGTCCATAGCAGTTGGGTAGCTGGGCAGTGGAGGAGTTGGGACTCAGACCTGTCTGACAAAGCCGCAGCCCATAGGGAGTGTTTGCATGTCAGGTGCTGCTGTGCTGGCCACAGGAAGGCCACTTGGTGATCCTCTGGAGGACAAGGTGGGAACCTGGGGTTCAAGATGTGGCCGTGGGAAGATGCAGGGTGTCCTTGCACCCGGATCCCTTGTGTGTCAGTGCATTCGGAGGGTCTTCCAAGATCTCCTCCAGCTCCAGAATTACCTGAGGGTAAAGGCTGGGCAAAGACATAGAGCGATGCAGCTTGCCTGGTGTGTATGTTTACTCTTGCCTGATGTCCCAACAGTGTTTAGCATTTGAATTTCAGTGTTCCCTGGATGAAAGGCGATTAGAGTGGACTGTATTTTTCCCCATCAGTGCTTCCTGTATTAAGGTTCTACTTTTTGTTTTTAAGTGAGCCTGAGTAAGTCAAAGTTTTTTAAGCTCCTGTTGCTGCCAGAGCTTCTTAGAATGTGCTTAATAAACTACTCCAGGAAATGTTTTGCTAAAACTTCTTTGCAGCCTATGTTTTGGGACCTTCGGAGAGAGCAGAAACATACAGTCTCTCTGTGCACATCACGTTTGGGTTGCAGGTCAGGACCTAGAAAGGAAACAGGAAGCAGTGGGCTGGTGAAATGTTAATTAACTGAAATTAAAAATCTGAAAGGCCTTTTGCACTTACTTCAGACACATAATTTATGTCTTCTTGGTAGGCCTCGAGTGACTCCCAGAGTTACAAACCAGTAAATACTTTAAAGGCATAAAGTGCTTCGAAGCTTTTGGAAAATATATATTTATTACCTCTGAGTCCTTCCTGGGACGTGTCATAATATCCATAACCTAGCATGTCTAGAGATGATGATTAAACATACACATTTCCTGGGTCATCAACTTAATTTTCCCTCCCTCCCTTCCTCCCTTCCTTCTTGTTGTTTGTTTCTTGTACTAAAATAATTTATCATGAAGTCAGAGTGGAAGGGCTATGAAAGGTAAACCACAGAACATGAAAGCGTGGGTTTGCAGTGGGTAGTGTATTTTAGCACATGCTCTTTTGCATTCTGCTGCATGTTTCTGGTTGCACCCATAGTCTTTGTTATTTATTTTACTATGTTGTATATTGACTGAGCCTCTACATGTGCTGGGTACCAGGCCTTTGTCAATAATGCCAAGAGGCAAATGGGAGGGACAAAAGGTGACACTCAGGGGGCTCTTTGATGATTTTTTTTTGGTACTTAAACCCATAACCTTCACCCTGAGCCACATCCCCAGCTCTTTTTTCATTTATTTTAACCTAAGTTCTTACTAAGTCACTAAATTACCCAAGCTGGACTCACACTTGGAATCCTTCTGCCTCAGCATCCAAGAATACTGGGATTAGGTGGGAGAATTTGAGACCAAGGATGATAGCCCAATTCTGGAAGCCTCCCAGGTCTCTGGGTAAATCTGCAAAGCCAGTTGCAGTGTGGAATGAGACTAATTAACGTGGGTGACACTGTGGCCCAACAGCTCAGCCCTCCAAACCGGTCAGCACACGACCTAGAACCACAGACTCCTAGCATCTGGGAGAAGACCCAGCCAGCTCCTTTACTTACAGATGGGGAAACCGAGGTCTCTAGAGATGACACAGTTTGGCAAAGATGCCATAACAAAGTCGCAGAACTGTGATGAGACCTCAGGTCACTTTCAGCAAGTTTCCGTGGCACCGCGATGTGTGTGTGTGTGTGTGTGTGTGTGTGTGTGTGTGTGTGTGTCTACGTCTACAGTTTTAACACTCAAGTCTTATGTGGGTGCCAGGGAAAGCAACAACCAGTTTTTAAAAGCATTCCCATTTTCCTTGCAACCCTGAATGGCTGTCTGGTGCGCACTCATCTGTTTTGTTCTTCAGATTGTTGCATTGCAGAATCTGGATTCTGAATCTGCAAGAGGTGGAGGACTTGTCGCTCACCACTCTGCCCCCCGCCCCCCATCCCCTATCATCTGTTTTGTGAGCCACGGGGCCAAAATGTGACCAGGAAAACTTAACTGCTCAGAACAGTGCCCTTCAGCTTAAATTTCATGTCTTTCACAGATATGACTTTAAGCCACAATGGAAAAGAATTATAACTTAGTACCTCCCTAGCCTCAGATGTGGAGCTCTGCCCCCGCCCAGAAAACAGACAGCACAGTTATTCAGGTGTCTTAGTGGTTATGTGTCCTGGGTGGTGGGCCTCCCAGTGTAAAACAGATTCACCACCCTTGAGGTGTTTCAGTCTCATTGGTCTCCACGTTTCAGGATTAACTTGGTGGTGATCACAGTTTTATTACCAGGAAATTGGCTCAGGGAGGTTCTAGGATCTACTTCCGGCCTCACAGGAAGTAGCGAAGTTGGGATCTAAGCCTAAACCTACCCGGGTCTAAAACCGGGCCCTCTCCTGCCGTTCTAAGTTTAATTCCAGCTCTTTACATATTCATAGGTAAAGTGGGTCTGGGTTTAATTAGTTTTTGTGTGGAATGAAACTTCCTGGGATGGACTTGTACAACTTCTTCAAGGTCAAGCAGTGATGCCTTTGTTGGACACGTAATGGGGCACGCCGAGCGTCCCCATCCCGTGTCTCCATTGGCACTGGACCCGGATTCTGGGTTGAGAGTCCCCACGCAGGACAGCTGAGCTGCTGCAGGGGCTGGCAGATGGCAGAGGAGCCCCGCGTGGCTCCCCAGGCTGCCCTGGTGGAGGTCTGGCCTCATTCCCAAATTCACCTCCAGTTCCCGAGGCCCCTCTTGTAGGGGGCAGGGCCCAGGCGCCTGTGCTGAAGTGAGTGCACTGTGTCCCTTCCGCAGCCATCAAAGAGACCAAAGAGGCCTTGGAGGGCGTGAACCGCAGCGTGCAGAGCCTGAGGCTGGAGAGCAGGCAGCTGAACAACAGCCTGACAGAAGTGAAAAACGACATGGAGAAGACGCTGGAGAACAACGAGTGCACTGCCGAACCAGTGCAGCAGATCTGTGACAGCATCAAGGAGTCTCTGGGCCAGCTGGAGAGCACCCCGGGCCTCGACCAGGTGAGCAGGTGCCCGGCGACCTGGGGTGGAGAGTCTTCATCTCCGCCCTGGCAGCCTTTTCGGGGCTTCTGATAGCAACCTTGGAACCGCTGCAGCAGGAGCCAAGAACAGAGTGGAACCCTTCATAGGAGTCCGTGTAACCTTGGTTTTGTTGTTGTTGTTTTGGGGTTTTTGTTTCGTTTTGTTTTTTGAGAGAGTCTTGCTTAAGTAGTTCTGCCTGGCCTTGAACTCACTATGTAGTTCAGACTGGCCTCAAACTTGTGTGATGATCTTCCTCCCTCAGCCTCCCCAGTGATGAGATTACAGGCTTACACCACCATGCCTGACTCATATAGACCTTTATAATTAAAAGATAGCCAGGCGAGGAGGCACACATCTGTAATCCCAGCATCGGAGAGGCTGAGGCAGGGTCGCCATGAGTTTGAAGCCAGACTGGGCTACAGAGTGAATTCAAGGCCAGTCTGACTACATAGTGAGAATCTGTCTCAAAAATAAATAAATAAATAAAATATTAAAGTATATTTTAAAATGATGTGCCTCGTATATTATTTGTATATGCTGAAATGCGAAGCAATTATCCCCCATTTTCCCAAGGAGAAGATCCCACCCCCCAAAAAAAAGATTTGAAGCAATTTGAATATATAAATTCTTAGGATGTAGAAAAATGTGAGATCTTCTAATTGTGATACCTGATTTTTAAATTTAATTATATATATCCCTCACATTCTATATAACTTTTTTTTTTTTTTTTTGGTACCGGGGATCAAACTTGGGTCCTTGTGCTTGCACAGCAGGCGGTGAAACCACTGAGCTAAATCCCCGGCCCTCTGTATAACATTTTAATGTAGATACATTTCTTCTCACCTTCACATTGCATGAGCCATTTGTTTTTCAGACATTTCCCAGGAATCATCTATGTGTATTTACATACAATCCTTGCTGGAGTCATTAAATGGGTTTTTAGAGCTTATTACATTTAATTTGTTTAAAATAAATTCTTTCAGGGAAACATTTTTATCTGCGTACTTTCAAACATTTACAAAATTGCAAGTACGTGTTCTCTCCTTCCTTACCAAGTGGCACTGTAGTGCTCCATTTGCTTTATCATACTATTTTATCTCTATCTACATATCATTATATAAGTACACAACATAAAATATATTTTGTTCTTTTCTGAAAAGATAAATTACAGACACCATGCCCCTTTAGCCCTAAATATTTCTGAACTTCCAGAACCATTACAGTTAACGACCTTAGGACATAGGGCCAGGCTCGGTGGCACCCTGTTGAAATCCCAGCCCTCAGGAGGTTGAGGCAGGAGGGTCACCATGAGATCAAGGCCCGCCTGAGCTAAGTAGCAAGTTCAAGGTCAGGCTGAACCTACTTAGTAAGACCTCAAAAAAACACAATCAAGGGCCGAGGATTTAGCTCAGTGGTTCCCCTGCCTACCTCCCGAGCACAAGCAAGGTCAAACAAAAAAGGTTGTTTTCAACTTCATTCACATACTTATCTGTGTTAAATTTCTTTGCCTCCTTTTGAGCCAACTGCAGTAGGAGACCTCCAAACATCTAAAACCAAGGGCTTATAGAGGATATCATGAGCAAAATACTTTTTCCCCAAATAATACTTCATTGTTCAGAAGAAAAGAGGTCATACCGCAGAAAGTGGGGTCTGGATACAAGACAGCTCTCTTTTTTATTGGGGTTAACTTGGGGAGTAGCACCTTCTTTATCTTTTGTCTTATACATTTTCAGCTTCCGTCTTTGGATACAGAACTTAAAAACATTGATAGTATTCTTGCAACCGATTTGGAAGGCCTAGTCAATCAGGTATGTTTGTTGTTTTAAATCCAGTAGCTTCTTTTATGTCATTAAAAGGATAGATTAGTGTGTAAGAAAATCGGGAAACAGTAAAGAAACCTTGACATTCTGAAGAGGGAATACTGAGAAAGCCAATAGCTAGTTGGTTCATTATTCCAATTAAAAAAATTTTAAAGAAGTATCTATTATGTGCAAAGATGCTAAGACCATTAGAGATCAAGACAGACATGACCTGTGCTTTCCCAGGACTCAGACTTCGGTGGGTACAGTCCAAGATCCACACGAATACAGACACACAGTGCCACCCTCTACCGCTGGTCGGCTGGGCTGGTTATTTTGCTGTTCCTTCTCATTTCCATGCATCTGTACCTGCCGTGCCCTCTACCTGGTACTTGTTCCACCCCTCCTTTGTCTGGCTACTCTTATTTTTTATGCTTCATATACCACGTTTTTTTTTTTTGTTTTTTGCTTTTGGTGTTGGGGATGGAACACAGGGCCTTGTGCATGCTAAACACATGCTGTACTACTAATTGCTTTGGCTCAGATACCATCTCTTTCACTAGACCTTGCTATCCCCCTCTGCCACGGTTTGTAAAGCCCCAAAAGGCAGGGACAACCTTGACCTGGAATATCGTATAATTTATCATTGTTGTTATTTATTCAACTATTAAATACCGAGCAAACAGTAAATATTTCTTATATTTTTATGATTCGATAGGTGCCCAGGGCCTATAAGAAAGGGAGAGAATAGTTTTATTCATGACTGTCTTCATTATCCTAAGGCTGAAATTAACATATACAGCCATCGACTGTGATGTTGAGTGAAATAAATCAGATACAGCTTAAGTATCACATGGTTTTTTTTATATGAGAAGCACAAAGCATAAGTAATCAAAGAGCAGAATAAAAGGTAGGTAAGAAGAAATAGAAAGAGGGATCGTTTAGCCCCGAGAAGGGGAACGAGATGGAAGGCAGGTTGGGGAAAGGAGATGCAAGAAGATGTGTTAAATACATGTGCCAGCTCCCCACGAGCAGTGTAATCATTATGTGCACACGTAATGTGCTAATAAAAATAAAAATGAAAAACAAAGATATGGTCATGCAGAAGCTAAAGAAAAATCCCCTTAGAGAACATTCTTTTGAAGATTTTTTGTGGTGGTGCTGGGAATCGAACCCAGGACCTTGCATATACTAGGCAAGTGCCCTGCCTAGCCCTGAGCACATTTTTTTGAGGGGACAGAAGTTACCCTTCTCTGAGTAAATCTTTTTTTCTATGTACCACGATTTTACTTTTAAAAATTAATTTTATTGATATTTTTTAGAGACATACAATGATAGCATTCATCGTAGGGAACTTGTACCTGTACAGGTTGGATCTTGGTTCTTCTTTTTTCCTCAATCCCTTCCCTTTCCTTTAACGCCTCTTCCCCTTCTTATAATTTATTTATTTATTTATTTATTGTTACGGGGGATTGAACTCTGGTCCTTGCACTTGCACAGCAGGCGGCAAAACCACTGAGGTAAATCCCCGGGCCTCCCTTTCTTATTTAAAAAAGCTTTCTTTTCATTTTTTTTTCTTCTAGTCTCCTTTTTTTCTTTTCCCTTCCTTCCTTTCCCCTCCCCCTTCCTTGTTCCCCTTCCCATTTGAACATTTTCTTCCTATTTTACGATTATTGTACATTTTGGTCCTTATTTACTCTTTTGGTTTCTCATACTAAAGAAACAATGTGATATTTAAACATGTGTCCAATTTATTTCACTCAACAGTATGGTCTCAAGGTGCATCCATTTACCTAAAAATATCTCAAGCTTATCTTTCTTTATGGCAGAGTAGTACTTCACTGTAAAAAAACCTCAACAAAACACATCTTCTTTATCCATTCATCCACTGATGGGCATTTGGGCTGCTTCTAAGATTTAGCTATTACAACTGTGCCATTATAAACATGGGTGTGCATATGTCACTGTGGGATGATGCTTTTAATTCTTTCGGGAACATACCCAGAACAGGAATAATCCTCTAGATTTAGTGTTTTGAGGAATCTCCACACTGCTTTCCACAGTGATTGCAGCAGTCTACACTCCCACCAACAGTGGGGAGGCAGACACCATAAACTTATGCATGTTGTGAGCACCGACTACAGAATTCCCTACCATACAGCTGTCCACACCACCGGTCAGCTAAGCTCTAGCTCAGCCCCATCAGAGGACAGGCTGGGCATTTAGAGAAGGTCTTTAGAAATAATCCTTCCCTCTCAGGAGTTAGCCCAAGCTGTGGAGCTTGGTGTGGTTTTTGTTTTGTTTTAGTTTTAGCTGGCCTCCCATTTGTCCTCTCTATAAACTGGGTTTTGGGACTTCTTCTTTTCTTCTTTGAGACTAGATGTCTTACTGCATAACTGCTTTGGAGAGGAAGAGTCTGTCTTTAGAAATGCACTTTGTAGCTGCATTGGCACCTTGTATGGGGTTTCCTGGCCTCGGCACTCATGGCTGTGGGCTGGATAGCACTTTCCTGGGCACAGTAGGATGTTTATTCGCATCGCCAGCCTGAGCTTACCCATTGTCTGCAACGCCTCACACTGCAACAGTGCCAGTGTCTCCAGGCATCACCAGTGCCCCTGAGGGACCAAGTTGTCCCCACCTTGACAGTCACTGCTACAGATATATGTATCCACAGCAGCCCCTAGAATCCAAGGGAGCAGATTGATTTTTAAATTATGGGAATGGCCTATATGCAAAACTTTTAACATGATCTTCCATTTTTCAGTTTAAGGTAAATGCTTTCTAAAGGGCTTTTTGTTGTTACTGTCAGACACTTGATGACCATATTTGGTAATTTCTGCTGGTTTTTTTTTTTTTTTGGTACCGGGGATCGAACTCGGGTCCTTCTGCTTGCGAGGCAGGCAGCGGAACCACTGAGCTAAATCCCCGGCCCATCTGCTGTATTTCTATTTTACTTCTATACTCCATACCAAGCTGAAAAATAAGTAGTGCTCTTCAACTTACCTTGTACATCAATTTATTTTGGAATTTTTTTAGGGATATGCATCCTTTGATAATATACCTGAGAAGGTGAAAAATCAAACTGCAGCAGTCGTTCAAGGTGAGACTTTGTTTTAGGCCACTTTGTACCTGTTTCTCTTTGATATTTTCGTTAAGAACTGTATGGTTGGTCAGTAGGAAGAAATATATTGTTATGAAATGTATTGTTCTGTTCTAAAAAAGTTTCTTGCCACTGAGTATCCGAGTGTTTCAGCTATGTCACTTTCAGTCAGTGACACAGATTAAAAAAAACCCTCTCACCAGCTGCCCCTGTGGTGACATGACAGCCACACTACGAAGGGGAGTCCCCATCCTGGGCTCCTATAGAAGTTCGGAAGATCATGTTCTGACTGCTTTTTCTAGAGAAAAAAATTGTAGGCTATTACATTTTCCAAACGAAAATGGATTTTTAAAAAATTAATTAATTAATTAATTAATTTACTACTATGTATGAGGATTGATTTTGTCCTTTTGGAGGTTTTTTTTTTCTTCTGTCCGCTGTGTTCATGCAATGGTATTTTAGGCTCCTAAGGTTGCTTAGAGTTCTAGAGAGACAGAATCTTTGTTGAGAGGGTCTAAATTCTTGAAATATGGCTGGGTGTGGTGGCGCACACCTGTGATCCCAGCACTTGGGAGGCTGAGGCAGGAGGATTGCCTTGAGTTCAAGGTCAGCCTGAACTATAGTACATAGAAAGACCCTGTGTCTAAAAAATGAATAAAAAAATAAACTCTTAAATTACTGAACTGTGCCGTCTTCAGGTTGTGGTATGGGGTGAATATACAGACAGCATGGACTATAGCTAGCTGTTTGTTCTGTATTGTGCATACACTTGGGATTATTCAGAAAAAGCCCCTGGAGCTGTTTAAGGGCCCCTCCGCCTCTGTCAGTCCTCTTCCCATTGCTGCGTTTTATCTGTTTACACAGTGATTTAAAAATACTGTGTTAGTGGCATTTGATGGTTTTTCCTAGCAGTGTTCTTTTGTGCATTAAGAATTTTGGTAGGGCTGGGGAGTTAGCTCGGTGGCATTGCGCCTGGCTCCCAAGAGCAAGGGCCTTGAGTTCGATCCCCGGTACCAAAAAAAAAAAAACAAAAACTAAAGAGTTTTGGTGAAGAGTACTTTATCCAGTTACATCGTACTGTAGAGCTTTTGTGGATTCTGTAGTCTGCTAGAAGAGTCTGAACTGTGAGACAGAGTTCACGACTTCCTCTGCGCTAGAGGCTTCTGCTGCGCCCCTGCAGGCCGCTCTCCATCTCCCGGGCCGCCTCTGTGCACGCGCGCAGCTTCCCCGTAAGTGCCACGCAGCCCATAGCACCTGGGGCTGGCAAGGGCCACCGCGACAGCGTGGACGTCAGGGGCTTGTGTCGCGTCCTTCGCGCTGCGTTTGGTTTCTGGAGTTCTGGCCTGAGCGTGGGTTTTGAATCCCCACTTCTTGCCAGGCTCTGTGGGTGCTGGGGAAGCATGAACCCTGCCTGTCTTTCGCCAGCTACGCCTGAAGATGGCCCTGCGCGTGCCTAGAACAGTGGCCAGGAGCCAGGGGCCTGGCTGAGCCCTCCACGTGTGGTCGCCAGGGCTGGCAGGGCCGGGCACCGTGTTGTGTATAGGTGAGGGTGAGACAGGCAGAGAAGTGACCAGGGGAGGAGCCCATGGCACAAGCTGTCCCATGTCTGTGTCTTTCTTCGGTCTCTAAATTTCATATCCACGAGAAAAACACTTCCAAAAACTTTCCCACTCATCAGGCGTGGTGGTGAATGCTTGTAATTCCAGCACTCCAGAGGCTGGGGCAGGAGGATAGCTGCAAGTTCAAGAGACCAACCTGGGCTACATAGTGAGTTCAAGGCCAGCCTGAACTACATAGCAAGAGCCTGTCCCAAAACAACAACAACAACAAAAAGTTCCCATTATTTTTATGCAATTACTTCTTAGACCAAACTACCCTCTCTGCCTTTTACCAAAGGTCACCAACGGTCACCAGAGGCCTCCAGGTCACAGCTGTCTTTGCTGCAGTTTCTTTCAGGGTCCTAAGAGATCAGTAGACTCCTAACTGAAGAGTATGCTCTCAGTATGTCTGTGGCAAGAACTGATGTGGGCCTGGGCTGTAACTCTGGGGTGGGTGCTCGCTCAGCACAGCCGAGGCTCTGGGTTCCTCAGCACTGAAAAGAAGAAAACACCCAGAAATCACTGTGGGAAAAGCCAGCCTCAGAAGTCATGTGACTGCTGGCCCAGGTGACACTGTACGCAGGAGCTGTGACAAGGACCTGTTGTGATGGACACTTTCCTCCAAAATGGTTTCTTTGAACTTATCTCCTCTCTGAGGGTGTGGGTGGATAGTAATAGAAACTGGCCACCATGAATCCTCCTGCTCTTAGCAGACAGAAGGCACAACGGACTTTTTTTTTTTCAAAGAGTCTCACTAAATTGCTCAGCCTAGCCTTGAACTCTTTCTGCCCCAGCTTAATGAATAGCTGGGATTCCAGGCATGCACCCCTATCCCTGGCCAAATACATTTCTTTAACAAGTCCCACATCATAGGAGTCAAATACAATTTTAACAATTATATCACCTGGGGGCACTGATTCCAAACATGGTCCTGGAGAATAACGGTGTCCTTGAGTACCATTTCTTAGGTGTGAAATTATTATGCCCAAATCATGTAACAGGGCTTTAGAATTAGATGCACTGTAATTTCAATCTCATTACCAGTTCTTTATAAAAAGGAGACCAAAGGATAAGTAACTTAACTTCTGTGAACTTCAGGGTCACCATTAGTAACACGAGGATTAAGAATATTGTATCTGCCTCAGTGGAGGAAATGAATTAACATTTGCTCATGTGCCTGTACATGGTAGGCTCAGCTGTACGTATTAATCACTTGATCCTTTTTTTTGTTTTGGAGACAGGATATCACTATGTAGTTCAGGGTGGCCTCGAAATATGGCAGTCCTCCTGCCTCACCTCCAACTGCTGGAATTACAGGTGTGTGCCACCATGCCCAGCCCACTTGATCCACTTTTTTAAAGCAATTCAATGGGAGCAGAAGACCCTGGCTTGACTTCAGCGTTGTCTTATGCAGACCATGTTCGTGGCTTGCTGTTGCATTACCTCTTTGCTTTTTCATGCTTTTGGCTCTACTCAGGCTTGTTGTAGAATCGCCTCTATTCTAAACTGGTGCATAACATGCGAAAAACCAAATGTGGCTCAAGTCTTTGTGTTTGGTTACAAAACACAGTTTCCTTGGCCTCCATGTTTGGAAATACATAACCCCTTTCCTCTGTTTGCAGATGTCAAAAATGTCATGAGTGGCATTAGTTCAAACATCAACAGACTCACTAAGCAGATTCCTATACAGGACACGCTGTCAAATTTCACTGTTTACATCAACAACACTGAAAGTTACATCCACCAGAATTTGCCCAAGTTGGAAAAATACGACTCCTACTGGTGAGTGCTCTGAGATTGAAACAATAGAGATGAGCAGGGCTCCTGAGTAAGATTCGTGAAGCCCTCCCCATTACTTAAAAAGGTTCTTGAACCAAATATGCAACAATTTGTAATTTCCTCTATCAGCTGCTTCCAGAATCTTATTATAATTAGAAAGCCACATATGGAATGGGATTTCAAAGCTTAACTGTAATTAAGAAAGGCATTTGCAGTGATGGGCTTATAAAATAAAGAACCAAGGTCACTTCCTCCTGAAAGCGCAGCATCTTCTCTGTACCTGAAAGCTGGTAAATTCCTCGCCGAGCTAAGCTGTGTTCAGTGTTGGGTGGGAGCGTTTGGCCTTGCCCAGTGACCACATCACAGGTGGCGCGTAGGAGAGGGAAGGACTTGAGGGCTTAGGAAATGTAGAGCAAGGACTTTACTGTTTGAAGAGCTCAGCTTCTGTACCTGTCCTGCCTGAGCCCTCGGGGAGTCCAGAGCCATTCTTATTCAGGTTGTGTTTTGTGCAAGAGCACAAGAAAATTGATAAAATAATAACAATAACCACCAGCATCTAGGAGAGGTCCAGTGTCCCATCAAGTGCTTTTCATGTGACATCTCCTTTGCACCCACAGAAGGTCTCCCAGGTTGTGTTCTACTTACAATTCTGTTTTGTAGACCTGAATATTGGGGGTGGGGAGACGGAGTGACTCACTTAAAGCCAGCTAAGATGTGTCAGAGGTGAGCTTTCCAGCCCCATCTGGCTGTGCCGCTATAGTCCGGTAAGATTTCAGGGGTACATCCCCTGTCTCATTATGGCACCAGGGCGCCCCAACAGGTGTCAGGAGATGCATAAGACAGACCTCCCAGACCTTGCAAACTCGATAGCAGTCAGAGCTTCACAAATGAGAAAAACAGTATAGTTATCTTTCTGCCTGTCTGCTCCTCTCCCTTCCTCCCCGCCCTACTCAGGACTGTAAGCTTATTTTAAAAATAAATTTAAGTAGATGACTGATTAACTCAAAGTTTTCTGAGGCCAGGCTCCAAGGCTTATTTAATTTTGTGTCGCCTATACTTGGAACCAGCTTCCACAGAACGGCTGCTGATGGCCATTATTATAATTAGTAAGATTGCTTTTAATTGAATGAAAAGCTTTATGGTGATTTTGTGGAGAGGCACCAGCAAATTCGTTTGTTTTTCTGTATCTTAAATGTTGGGGAGCAATTTTTACCCTTGAATGCTCCTCAGCTGCTGGGAAAGGTTGTTGTTTATTCCAGGAATGCCAGTAAGACCTAATTGAGCCTCCATTATCCTGAAATGTCTCCCAGGACCATTACAAAATTGAGATTTGCATTCTGCAGACATTTGATTTAGGGCGCTCATAAAATTCTAAATGTTCCATGCATCTGCCAAGTAGAGCATTTCTGGTTTAGGAGGAGCATGATGCCCCAGAACATTCCTGTAGCCACAGAGTATTTTAGAGAAAGGCAGGGAAAGAGACTGGTATTTCTCTATCTGTAGTCTAAGCATGAGCTTCCAACATCAAGAACCTGGAAAGATCTTGAGAACCTTAAGGATATTTTATCAGTAGTAAATTCAAAACAAAGAAAGCAAAAGTGTCATGATCATTGAAAGAGCACATGGAAGCTGAGCATGTCCCTGGCGCTTGGGTTGGTGGAGTTAGGGGTAGGATGGGGTCTCACATACTGAGGAATTCTCAGCAAACCCTGATGTCTCACAGATGGCCAGGAGGGCCTCCCTCCAGCCTTAGCAGCCCCCGTGTCTGATGGTGTCGCCATGCTGTGTCCTAACCCTGCGCTTGCTTTACCAGGTGGCTGGGGAGCTTGATTATCTGCTTCCTCCTGAGCCTCATCATGGTCTTTTTCTACCTGGGCATGTTGTGTGGCATCTGTGGCTACGACAAGCATGCCACCCCGATGAGTAGGGGCTGCGTGTCCAACACGGGAGGCGTCTTCCTCATGGTGTGAGTACGTGCGGCTCTGCCACAGGGTTCCATGGAGTAGGGGTCTTGGGGTAGTGGTTCTTCCTTTGGTGTGGGTACTTCTCCAAGCACAAAAAAGTAACAGAAAACTAAACTGATGGCATATGAAAGAGCAGCTTAAGTGCGCTGTTTACATAGGATGGGCTCCTTTGAAAACAGCTGTTATGGAAACCATTTCCAGGTTGACCTTGATATCCGTTGTTCCTCCTTTTATTTCATTTTTATTTTTAATGGTAAAAGTTTGCAGTACAGAATGATTACATGCATGGTGGGAAGTTGGTACATTTCTATAAAACATCTCAATTCCTTTTGCACCCCTCCCTTCCTCCCCTTCCCTTCCCCCATCCCTCCATCTCCTGGTCCGCTTCCCATTTGCAAGAGATCTATCTCCTTGTTTCTTATTATCTATCTTTTATTTTGCACTTTAATTTATTTATACTTTGGGTTTCTCATATAAGAGAAACCATGTGATATTTAAGCTTGTGTGTCTGATTTATTTTACTTAGCATCGTGGTCTCAAGGTGCATCCATTTTCAAGTTTATCCTTTTCTGTGGCAGAGTAGTGCTCTGTTGGGTATAATACCACGTTTTCTCTATCCGTGCATCTGCTGAGGGGTGCCACTCCTTCTTTACCGCACTCATTCACTCACCTGTTCACCGGAAGCTGAGCTGACCTCCTCTGAGGCCCCGTTCTCCATGGTCGCAGAGCTGCCAGCTTGAAGCCCTAGGAACTTGGAGTAGCAGAGCTCCCCACAGCAGCGGCCTTGGGACTTAGACCAGCAGCCTCAGAGGGGCAAGGGTGGATGCCAGGGAATGGCAAGCCTGCAGTCCCTATTTCAGAAACGTCTGTATCCAAGTCTGTGCCTGTGGGAGACCTTTACTGGAGCAGGCTGGGGCAGCACAGTAGGCAGAGTGTACACTGGGTACGGGCTCTTTTTGGATAAGCTCGCTGTGAATCAGCTGTAGGGTGTGTAATGGGGCTCAGAGGTTCAAAACGACTCCTTTGGGGAACAGAGAACTGAAACACGGGCCACATGTTCTCATTCGTCCACGAAAATCACTAGTGTGGGGTAGGAAGGGCTGGAGAGCAGGTGGCATGTGCTAATCTGTCTTCTTTTTTTTTTTTTTTTGGTACCGGGGATCGAACTCATGACCTTGTGCTTGTGAGGTAGGCGGCGGAACCACTGAGCTAAATCCCTGGCCCTGTAATCTGTCTTCTGAACATGGGGTCACTGTAATAACTAATTGAGGTTCTTATGAGCCATGAACGAGTCTTAGGCCCTTTCCCTGAAGCACAGGCTCTGGTATAGAACAAGCATTTGCTATCATTATTGCAGGCACCGGAGTCCTCAAAATAACCACAAAGCCAGTGAGCTGGGGCCTTCCAGGGTCTGACAAACAGCTCCACACACGAGAAGCCTCGATTTAAGAAATTACACTCAAACCCAAGTACCTCTGGTCGGGGAAGGATAAACGAGAAGAAATTACACCAGCAAAGGAAAATGTGTTTGCTTTGCTTTTTTGTTCACATAAACACAGCGATAGGTAGAAAGTTAATTTGCTCTTAAGAACTTAGCAACCCTCGCCGTCTGCCTCACAAGCGCAAGGTCCCAAGTTTGATCCCCGGTACCAAAAAAACAAAACAAAACTTAGTAACTCTGATATTAGGCTGTTTTGCCAGTGCTTTGCCAGTGACTATGTATCTCCTGTCTTTATAACTGCTTCAAAAGCAGTTCATAAAATTCCCACCACATTGCTTTTAGGGATATAACAAAAATGTGATATCTGGCTTCAAAGAAAAAGAAACGGGGACATCACCAACAAATTGGTGGAGGCGACAAGCTGCTGGGGTGTGGCTAGGACACGAAGTGTGCACAGACCTGTGGGCTGCTCGTGTCGCACTGTTGAGTTCTCGTCCCAGGTGGCTGCAGATGGGGAGCTGGGAGCACTTTCCCCCCGCATGGAGGAGGAGTTGCGGGCCCTGGCTTCACTGCCATCCTGTGTCACCCGAGGGTCCCCGGATAATCTCTGGCTGCCTACGATGTGGGGGTGAATGTATTATCTGTCGCACAGAACAGGGAGAGGGGGCCGGGGATTTAACTCAGTGGTTCCACCGCCTGCCCCACAAGCACAAGGACCTCAGTTCGATCCCTGGTACCAAAAGAAAGAAAAAAACAATCCCAGCAGAACAGGGAGAGATACGGGGACCTCACAGAGGCAGCTTCTCTTGCACTGAAGCCCATGATGAAAATTCCCCTTTAACCCTTGCAAACAAGGCCCACATCACCCAGACTTCCAGAGAAAACTCATTCACAAAGTTGGGTCGATCAGACTGGCTGGTGGCAGGTTCCAGATTTACAGAAAGTAGCTTGTCGGGCTCTGGCAAGGGCCAGGAAAAAGCCCGTGTGCCTTTTGCTTAGTAATTCCCATTTTAGGGTGCATCTGTAACAGAAGCAGACCAAACTCTGGGGAAGTCTCCTGAGCAGGGACGTCTTTTTGTGGTGTGAGTTACAAGAGCAAGGAGTTGGAAACAGCCCACATGTGCAGCCCAGTGCAGGGCTGGGGAACGGGTGTCACGATGTGTGCTCAGGGAGAACCCTGCAGCCACTGACACGGTGACCACGTGACTGACCTGGCTCACTGGAAAAGCTTTTAAGGTAATCTGTTTCTAAAGGGGTTGTAAAATTAGGCAAATTGCATGGAAATTTCCTTTCCTTTCTTCCTTCCCTCTCTTCCTTTGTTCATCCTTTCTTTCTTTAGTTTTGATCAAACCCAAGGCCTCACACATGCTAGACAAGTGCTTTACCACTGACTCACATCCCCGGCCCTAGATTCAGGAGGAAATTTTCTTTGTTTCTTCTTTTTTTTCGTTTTTCTCCACCTTCTTCTTCTTTTTCTTTTTGCAATATATATATATATATATATATTTTTTAATTCAAAATGAATCAACAGTAATACACCATAAATTCTTATTTTGACACTCACCAAAATAGTCACCTGAAAAACCCACTTTTTGTGACAAAGTACAGAAGGCTTGGTCACATTTAAATCACTGAGAACTAGAGAGAAATACTGTCGCAAACTGTAAGGACATTACATCCATAAAAATTTTCCCAGACCTTATTATAATATTGCACAGTGCAATTGCTACATGGCAAACTAGTGTAGCATAGAAGTAAAAGCAAAACAAAGAAATCAAAGAAAGCAAGCCACAGGTCTAAAATTGTTAAACAGTTAACAGTTCAAACTTAGTAATCAAATCTATATCATTGGGTTCATGAAAACAAATCTTCTACACCTTGCGGTGTATGATTTAACTTTTACTCAACACAAACCAAGTTAAAAATTAGCAGTAGAGATTTAAAAAATGAAAAAGTAACAATTAAACATCCTGAATGAAAGAAAGAAGAACTAAGATCAGGGTATCTGATTAGAAAAAACTATTTGTAAATTAAAATAGTATGCAAATATGCAACTTGGAAATCATGCAGTGTTTTATTTAAGAAAGCATTAAAACCAAAGGAAACAAGGGCCAGGGATTTAGCTCAGTGGTTTCACCACCTACCTTGCAAGAACAAGGTCCCAAGTTTGAGCCCCTGGTACCAAAAAAACAAACAAAACCAAAGGAAACTGATAAAAGTGGTTTTAAAGAGGGAACACGTCCAGATTCCTTTTTCCATATGCTAAATTTAGACCTCAACAGGAATTTGAAATTTTTAATTAAGTTTTAGCTTACACATATTAAAAAGTCCATAATTCCAAGTAACTATGAACAGTGTACTAACTGCAATCTACGTTTAAAAAACATTATCATTGGGGTATGAAAATGTTGACCTTTACCAGTTTACTATCAGTTTCACAAGACTGTTTCAGTCTTGGAGCTTAAATAGAGAAAATACACCATTTTAGGGCGGAAACATGGCCCTGAACAAAAAGAAAATTGCGCCAGTTTTGTACCTGTTGTGATATAATCAATCTTTTGCCCTTGGTGTTTCTGAGACATCCGTTGCCAGCACTGATTTTTTCCAAGTAATCTGCTGGACCCTGTAAATAAAATTAGAAGGCTGTCTCCACCTTCTTCTTTTCCCTCCTTCTTCCTCTTTCGTCTCCACACTTTCAACACACGTTAGCCTGTTCTGATCTCCATAATCTTACAAAAGCAGGTCTGGCAGCTGTCTCCCTGATCTTAGCGTATGCATATTTAGAAAACAGTCTGGAAGTGATAACGGTGCTCTGTTTGAAGTGTTAGAGTTGTCGTTAGTTGTGCTATCATGGTTTCCATCATGTGTACAAAGTATGATTAAAATATACAATTAATGTTTAAGTTTTTTAAAATGTATTACAGGCAAAGACACAGTGCCATGAATCCCCCTCAGAAACCACCCCCTCGCTTCAAGCACACTTATTCCATCATTCTTGCCACTTTCTGAAGGAGTTCTGGAGGCCCTCTTTTGTGAGTGTCTTTATGAGAGCTGGTACAAAATAAGGCAGATGGCGCCGCCAAGTGCCACCCAACAGAAAAGCGGGCTCATAAAAACATCATGGTGCATCTCCATCCACCTTATTCACTGGATCTGGGGTGACGGCCCTTTTGGCTCTTCCCCGGAGTCAGAATGACCCCCAAAGGTAAACATTTTGAACTGATTCAGAATTCTAGGCAGCCACTGCAGTGCAACTGAAGACAGAAAAGGATTCTGGGACTGCTTCAGAAAGTGGCAGGAATAGTAGGATGAATGTGTTTGAAGGGGGGCGCGTTTTTAGGGAGATAAATGGCGGTGTATCTTCTACTGTAATAAATTTTTAAGAATGTAAACATTCAATGTACTTTTTAGTTGCACTTTATGTTAAAACCGAGGCAACTCTGGCAGGACCCTGGCTCCCTCTTCCCTTCTCCCAACTGTCCCGGAGTAGAAAACCTTTTAGATCAGAGAGCCAAGCTGAGTAGAGCCCTTCCAGTGGGTGAAGCCACGCAGATGGCTGTGGCTGGCTTTTGGGGTTTCCGGCTGGGGAACCTTGCCGTCCGGAGGGCCGTGGCCCTGTCAGAGAATCCGCCCTCAGCTGGAAGGGCCCTGGGAGGTGTGCACCGGGGCGGCAGCTCCCGCTACACTCTGTGTTTGCCATCCATGGAGGATCCGTGTGGACACCCGGACGGCGAAGCCCTGCTGGAGAAGCCCCACGACGGGGCAGCTGGGGCCCTCCGAGCTGCTGATCCGGCCCGGCGGTCCTGCCGGTCTAGCGAATGTCTTCCTTCGCCTTCCCTCTTCTTTCTTTCCTTTCTCCTGCAGCAGCCCACCCTTCCTCTCTCCTTCCCACCCTGACCCATCCCTCCTCCTATTTCCTCCTCTCAGCAGGGGCCTTTCTCTCCTTCATCTCGGAGGAGATAAAAGCTGCCCCTCGACGCCCCGTGCACGCCCAGACCGCCAGCCTCGCCTTGTGCCTTCTCTGTCGGCCCGAGGAGGCGGAGGGATCCTTCCCACCCCCGCGGATGTTCCAGCCCGTCCCTCCGCTCCTGCGTCTTTGTTCTCTCCCTCTCCTGGACTTGCCTCTCAACGCTGGGCCACGTTCTGTCCTCCCCCTTTAAAAATGAAAACGGCTTCTGCCGACACCAACACCCCCTCCTCCCGTGAGCCAGCCGCTCCACTTCAGCCTTCTCAAAAGACCGGCTGTTTCCGCCCGTGTCCCCTCCCACTCCCTCCGCAGCTCGCTACCCTACCCAGGCCTCTTGCTGTGTCCCTCCACTCTGTCGGTCAGCAGCTGGGCCCGGGAGAGATTGGGGAGCGAGTATCTGCAGCAGTTCCCACTCCCTCCGCACGTGCGCCCTCCTGCAAACTCTCCCTCCCCCATCAGCCACCTCCCACCCGGATGGCTTCCGTCCTGCTTCTGTGACTCTCTCCTTGGTCTTGTTCGCTTGTAGTCCTGCCACCTGTCCCCAAAAGGCCAAAGTCCCCCAGGCCAGTCCTAGGTGCTTCGCTCTCCAGTCCAGCCTAGCCTCAGGGGCTGGTTTCTGCCTCTTGCCTTCTCTGACAGGAGGATGTCAGTGCTCCACACTTCTGCATGGCATCCTCACCAAAGTGTCTCCCTGGCAGCACAGCCGCCCGCCCCAGCTTCTCTTACCGTCCAGAGATAAGTGTCCTCACCACCCCCCTTCCTGCCTTCACCTCCTATCCGGCCGCCTCTGCCGGCCGTGCTGTGTGTCTTTCACCCGCTGACTTCTCTCCACTGCCAACAGCCTCATCCGGACGCAGTCACGGTCCCCTCCACAGTGATGCCATCCATGTGACACCTGTCCCAACATGCCTCGCACTGTGCTTCTCCGTGCCTCTGTCTTTCCATGGCTTTCCCTCCTGGGTCCCCCGGCCCCACCCCACTCATTCTTCCGGGGCTCTGAAGTGACCCTCATGCCCTTCACCACGGTGTGGATGATGCAGGGCCATGTCACCCCCTTCCAGACTCTCCAGGGGACACGTCCAGCCTGGAGTCTCTACGTTCTGTCACTTTGGCAGAGAGGCTTGGTTCTCAAGCAGCCCCGGAGCCCAGGCTCTGGACAGTAGGTGGAGCAGGCACTGGGGTCCCAAGGGTTCCGTGATTGTGAGCTGAGGCTGGAAGGGGACCAGTGCTGTCCACTTCCCTGCTCTCCCAGGCAGCCTGGTCTCTTCATCCCGCAGCTCCATTTCACACCACCAGTAGGCAGAGTGAGTAGGAACTGGTGGGTAGTACTGAATACTTCGGTAGAATTACTAACTTTCTTTGTATTTTTTCCAGTGGGGTTGGATTAGCTTTCCTCTTTTGCTGGCTGTTGATGACCCTCGTGGTTCTTATGTTTATTGTTGGTGTAAATATGGAAAAATTGGTCTGTGAACCTTATGCAAACAGGAAGTTATTCCAGGTAAATATGGTTTTCTATTCATTGTGGAAGGACTTGAAGGGACAGTTGGATTTCCCCCCATAACTTGTGGGGTTACTTCAAGAGCAGTATAAAAACATGAGTAGTATTTTTATTTTTAATTTTAAACATTGTCTAAAATAGGAAGAAAAGGTCCAAAGGGGTAGGGGTAGTGGGAGGGGCAGGGGAAAGGAAAGAAGAAAGAAGGGAAAGGAAAAATGATGGGAAATGGGAAAAATGATGGGAAATGGAAAAAATGGAAATAAAGTCTTTGTAAATAGGGAAGGGTGGAGGGGGTGAAGGGAGGGCTAGGAATGGGGAAAAAATAAGAACCAAGATGCATCATGTAAAGGTACAGTTCCCAATGAGAAATGTAATTGTGTTGTGTACCTACAGTGTACCAATAAAAGAATTTAATATAAAAGAAATGTTTTTAAAATAATAAAATAAAAAAATTTTAGACATTGTCTTGCTTAAGTTGCCCATGCTGTGTGGCCTCAGACTTAACAATTTTCCTGCCTCAGCCTCCCAGAGTGCTAAGATTTCAGGCATGTGTGACTAATCCCAGCTATTTTGGTTTTAATTCAACATGTTGAGATTCTGTTTATAAGAGGAAAAAAATTTATATATATACGTATATATATTCATGTACTTATACATATGTGTATAATAGTATTATTGTCTGATTCTGTGTGAAATCAGTGCCAGGAATTAAGACCTGTGATTGTAATATTACGGGAGAATAAAAATCATGCCTCACATCTGTAATCCCAGCCACTCCAAAGGCTGAAGCAGAAGGATGCAGGTTGGAGGCCAGCCTGGGCAATTCAGGAAGATTATCACAGTAAAAATGTTTAAAGGCCCGGGGATGTAGCTCAGTGGTACAGTGCCAGTGGGCTCCATCTCTACTGCAGGAGAAACACAATTCTCCTCAGTAGAAGCTTTTCGAGGTCACTGAAGATGGGAAGTAAATTCCCAGTTTCTTCCCACGCCCCTCTGGAGGCTTCTGACGTTTGTATTTCTCAAGTGCAGAGTCCTCCATCCAGATGACGTGGGCCCTGCATTTGAAGCGAAAAGAGCCAATAAGGGACCCCCTGGTGGCAGAGGCTCATCCCTGGGGATGTCTGGTGGGACAGTCAGAACTGAATTCGAGCTTCACTTTCCCTCCCAGACCAACTCCTGCAGCCTCCCGGGCTCCGTGGAATTTCACCTTCCTCTTTGAGGAGGACATTTTAGTTCATGACTCTGGCTTCTGACTTGGGTGTCCCGGTGTTTTTCTCCAGATTCTGATTTTTAAAATATACTCCTCTTTCTCTCTTTTATTGTATGTATATTTTCCACCTCAAGTCTGTAATGAAGTCACGTGAGTGACTAAAAAGTCATCAGTTGTCATGGCAATGATGTTTTGGTTGTTCATTCAGTTAAGGGAAATTAAACTGAGAGTGTTGACGGATCACATTATCTTCACTTGGCCTTTTAATACTAATAAGATATTTAAAAGCTTCATTATCTGCTCTGCAGTATTGAATCATTAAAAAGTAATTCTTTCAAAGTAAGAGATATTTCAAAACCATTTATTCAGTTGACCATCCCTAATCCAAAAAAGATCTGAAATCCAAAATTTTCCAAAATCTGAAAGTTTTTAAGCACTGACATGACACCACAAATGGGGAAATTCCACACCCTGAAACTTTGTTTCATGTACAAAATAATTTAAAACATTCTATAAAATTACCTTGGGAATATGTGTCTAAGGAGTATATAAAACATAGACGAATTTCATTTTTAGACTTAGGTCCTGTCCCCTTGGTGTAAATATTCCCCAAATCAGAAAAAAAAAAAATTCTGAAGCACTTCTGGTCACAAGCATTTCAGGTAAAGGATATTCAACTTGTATTTATCATGTACATACACAGGAATGCATTAGTTTGTCGGTCGTAAATATATATGGTGCAGAGTCAGAGTGTACGAGTTTTAATTCATTTTGTCCAGAAAAAAATAATGAAGGGTTGGGTCAGCAGCTTCATGGTTTTATATTAACTATTCTGAAGCAAATTTCCTACTGTCCTCTAATTTCTGATGTGTTTACTGAAATGAAGTTGAGGTTTCAAAAAAATTTTTCTATAGCTTTGATTGATGCCATCCACCAGTCAATTGATTTATTCCAATTATGGCATTTCTAGTTTTAGACTAGAAGTTGATGAGAAATATCATGATATGAAAAAGTCTCAAAAATATGTAACAGAATATTCATTTTACTATATGTAGGCATGTTAATGTAAAACTGTTTTTCACAAAATATTATTTCATTTGTTCTAGATTTTGGACACCCCCCACTTACTAAATGAGGAGTGGGAGTATTATCTCTCTGGCATGATACTCCAAAAACCAAATGTTAAACTCACCTTTGAACAAGTTTACAGGTATCAATAATTGCGTTACATATTTTGCTGTGTAAAATGGCTTTTCTCCAGAATTTTGCTTTCAAAGTGTTTCTTTTAATCTTGCTCATAAGACTTTTCAGTTTCAGAGCTATACTGCTCTCCGGTCTTAGCAAAGAGACTAAAACTGAGACCAAAAAGATGACCCTGGGCCAAAACCTTTGAGACCTGGAATAGTGATGCCTTGGGTTCCCCTGTCCAGGTGTCCTTGGGATTCTCTGGATGAGGTGACCCTGAGGTGCATTGATGGGACCCTGTGAGAACTGAGCAAACAGTCCAAACCCCAGGTCTCATAATGGTCCCAGCACTCAGGCCACGGCTCTCCCTCTGCTTCTTGGGTTCCTGTGACCTTGGACAATTCTACTTCCTCTCCATGCAGCAGCAGTTGTGACCATAAGACTCACCTAGGCGGTGTTTTAGAGTCCAGCAAGATACCTGATATTGGATCAGTGCCTGACACATTGTAAGAACATGATAAAATAACACTGTCTGTACTTATGGTTGTTCATCAATATACACTTCCCATCTCTGACACATGAGAATGTGGTAGAGGGAGGTGGTGGTGGCAGGAAAATGTTGCTCTTTGGCATGAATTGCAGTCGATTAGGGATCGTTTCTCAGACTACAGTTAGAAGTGAGATTTCCTATAAGTGAGGCCGCCATTGCTGCTTTGAACACCTCAGAAGGGGAGAATGGATTTACCAGGAGTGAAAAAGAAGAGCTTGCTGCGAGTCAAAGAAAATAATAAAAAGTCCATCACTAGGGCTCCTCCTACCTAATGCAAGGATGGCTCTGATGAGAAGTCCAAGGATTGCTCTACAGACAAAGGGGCCACCAAGGAATCTAGTGAGAAGGACCACGACAGGGATAAGACCCAGAAGAAGTGCAGTGCTTCCAGTGGAAGCAGGAGCACCAGGTCTCGGTCCAGCTCAACTTCCGATTCAGGCTCTGGCACCAGCTCAGGCTCAAGCAGTGGCTCCAGTTCCTCTTCAGCATCCGGCCATTCTGGAAGCTCTAGTACATCCTGCAGCTCCAGTACCAGCAGCTCCTCTGGCTCCCCAAGCCCTTCATGGCTCAGACACAACAGGTGGCGCTCCAAATCCAAGCCACCAAAAAGACATGAAGAGGAGAGGGAAAGGTGAAGCCCTTCCCCTAAACCCACCAAAGTCACATCGGCAGGCTTACCAGGGATGTGACTAAGGATCACATGGAGATATTTTCCACCTATGGGAAGATTAAAATGATTGACATGCCTGTAGAAAGGGTGCATCCTCATCTCTCTAAAGGCTATGCATATGTGGAGTTTGAGAATCCACATGAAGCAGAGAAAGCGCTGAAGCACGGGATGGAGGACCAATCGATGGTCGGGAGATCCCTGCTATTGCTGTGCTGGGCCCCGGCCTAGGCCGCCACCCTGGCGATTCAGCCCTCCCAGGAGAATGCTGCCACCATCTCCCATGTGGCACAGGTCACCCCCGCGGATGAGAAGGTCATGCTCCCGAGACGCAGGTCCCCTGTACGCAGGCGGTCCTGTTCCCCTGGCCGCCACCGCCATAGGAGCCACCCTAGCTCCAATACTTCCTGACAAGCAAGACTACCGAAGCTCACTCTTGTAACTTATGTCCCACTCAGCTCAGTTGTGTCACTTCTGTAGCATAATGAGGAGCAGTAGCAGAGGGTCCCTCACTCAGACAGGCTTCAAAGGCAGCAGTGGAGACCCTTGTTCTTCAGGCGGGTTCTGGCTACAGAAGTGCTCTTGGTTCAGGGCTGTGCCCATAAAGGCACCCTGCAGTTTTCTGTCTAGGAAGCTCACCATTCCCATCTCAGAAGTCTGTTCGGCGGCAGGATGCCCCAGCTTTTCCAGATGACTTGGGGGCAGCCTGGCAATGTGATCATACCTTGGGGACCAATCCTCCATTCCCATTAGACCTGGCCCTTTGATCCCTGCTTGAGTCCTCTTCCAGCCTCTACGATCAAACACCTAGAGAGACTCCCCCTGCCCTGTGTTAGTTGTCATAATGGTTCTGTCTTTCTATGTTCTCACCTGTACACCCACCCCATTCGTCTTGACTCTCAAATGTTGGTGAGCAATTTGAGAACCAGCTTTGCAGGTCACCATGGAGCCCCCCCATTTCACCTGCCATTCATGGTGGTCTTGCAGGTTACCTTTGCAACATGTACATTGCTTTTTTGGCTTTTATTGTACAGTCAGTGCTATAAAATTTGAGTTTTCTTAACTTTGTAGCATTTTAGATAAGGTTGTGTTTGTACTTTGTTGTGTAGAGTAAAGGAATTGTATTCAATAAACCTAGGATTAGAATGCAAAAAAAACCAACAAAAAAACCATGGTAGAACTCCATAGCCTAAGTGCTAGCTAGTATCCTTGGAATGGTGTCTGGTGCACCCATTTCTCTGAACCTTTTAAAACCACCTTGAATCTTCAAGGTCCTGTCTGCTGCAGCAGTGATGTGCCACAGTGATACACCGCAGATTGCTCTGTATAATGAATCCCTCCCTTTTTTGCATCATTTGCCTCTTTGTACCTCCAAAGAGGGGGAGGCACCCACTCCTTGGTGGTGAGGTCACAGCCAGATGAGGTGACCAGGGGAATGTTCATGTAGGAAATGTCCTTCCCCTGGAAACATTCTCCCCTCTCAGGCAGATCAGCTGCAGTCCTTATCCCACCCCATGAGCTGTCTTCCCCTGCTGTGGTCACTCTTTCCACCGAGGGATCTCTTCAACCTATTAGTGTGTTTTGAGATTCAGCAGCCACACAGCCTCATGCTCATAAGAAACGGCCAGGTGACCTCTAGAAGTTGAGTTCTCTCTTGAGCCTCCCAAGTAGTTGTAGGTTATCCACCAGGACAGGAATGAGCTTGTCCCTAACCCTGGGTCCTGAGGAATCGTGTTCGCCATTGTTTAAGCTTCTCCCAGTGAAACTGTTGAGAGGTTTTTCTTTGCTTCTTAGTTTACTTTTGAAGCAGTCCCCAAATACTGTATAGTATTCTTTTCTTCTCAATCTAGTGTTACTTCACATCATACACCTTTGCAGATGGTGAAACGTCCCTACTGGTCAGATGGTTGGTCATCTTATGTGTTTGATCTCTGTTCTCAGCCATAGAGAAAGAAGTCACTTAGAGATCATTTGATGCCTAAATCACAGGACAGTTTTAAACCAACAATAGTAATTTTGTTTTTACACTCACACCAGAGGGCTGGAGGGTGTGTGTTCTAACATGACATGTTCTTAGTGGATGAAACTAAAAATATATAGGCAGTGGTAATGCACACTGAGGGCATAATGTTCACAAGGTGAACGTGAGAGTCAGCTTTGTGTCACTGTGACAAAATACCTGAGAATAGCAGCTTAAGGGAGGCAAAGTTTATTTTGGCTAATGGTTTCAGAGGTCTCAGTCCATGGTCAGCTGACTCCATTGATTTTATGCCTGTGGTGAGGCAGGACATCATGGAAGGGCATGATGCAGGAAAGCTCCTCACCTCATGGTGGCCAGGGAGCAGAGAGGGAACAGGAAAACCAGGAAGGATGGGGTCAGGAACAAGATATACTCTTTAAAGGCCTGTCCCTGGTGACCTTTTCCTCCAACTAGGTCCTGCCTCCTAGTAATCCATTCAGCTATGATCTAACTAATGGATGAATCCACTGGTAAGGTTAGTACCTCCATGATCCATTGGTGGGTTGGGTTTATAGACAAACTGGACTGAGTGTCTGGATGTCTGTGCACCCTAACTTGTCACCGGCCTTACCTTTAGAATAAAGTTGAAGCATATATTTAGTAAATGAAGACAAAATATTGGAAATACAGAGGGGAAATGGTCTTGGCAGGCGCTTTAATAAAGCCCATGATAAACTTTGTAGGGCATCTCTTTCCAGGAAGTATCATTTTTGAATTTTTTAAAGAGAATTTATTTCTTCTCCATTTGTAAACTTGTCTGCAGCAGTACAGGAAATAGCATAAAGGAAATAGACAGAAAAATGTATTTATCAGTCCCATTGTATCTGTTCCAAAACTAAGACAGTTAAGCAGCAGGGAAAGACATCAGGAGTGGTGAGTGCTATGCATTCTTTCTGCCAGGGATGGCACTTTGAACCCACTTGTGTATCCACAGAATGCACAATGAGAAACAGACTCTTGCCTCATCCTTAGCAATGGGCACAGGTAGCCATGTTGCTTTCCTGGGTTATGATTTCTGTTTCTTCCCACAGTGATTGCAAAAATGATAAAGGCATTTACACCAGCCTTAAACTAGAGAACCGTTTCAACGTCAGTGAGGAGCTCAACATTCAGAAGGTGAGACGGTAGAACCAGCCACATACTTGACATATTGCGGCACTAAATACAGTTGTTTTTCTTTTTGTTAAAATTGATGTGAAATTCTCTAAGATAAAATAAACCATCTTAAAGTGACACTTAGTATATCCACAAGGTTGTACAATCCTCACCTTGATCAAATTCTAAAATATTTTCTCACTCCCAACTTCTTGTCTATCTTGTGGCTTCAGTTTTTCTAGTAGATTACCCAAGATCCTTAAAAAAGGTCTCACTTAAACTCTGCCCGGGAAAGATTTCATTTCACTGAGTGTTGATGATTCTATAGGAAAAAGTCACACCTGCTCCCCAGGAAGGTTGGTTTTCCAAGACCAGGCCCCCTTTTCCAACAGGTCCCAGATCAGGAATTATGGCCCATATTGTCCTCATTCCTGTGTGTCATGTGGCCCCAGTTTGGGCTCTGCTGAGCTTTGCTGGCAAGAAGCAGGAAGGGTAAAGCAGACAGAATGACCTTCCTGCCTGCTTTGCCCCAATCCACACCCCAGTCTGAGTCTTAAAACTCTGAAGAAGGGCCAGTTCAAAGCACACTGGGCAGAAGGAAGCAGTAGAGTCCTTGTTGGTAGGTCTTGAGCATGATTAGCCTAGAAGGATCTAGAGAGCCCTCCTTCTTTAGGGCTCCCATAATGAGAGTAGATCCCAAGAGGTACCAAAGAAGGAGATGACCTCCAGGCCCTACAGTTTGCTGACCGAGGCATCATGGAAGTGACTACAACGCCTTGATAATTTGACAGTTCTCAAAAGTGAGGAACTTTATTTGAAATCTGCATACGAATTTTTTATTGATTATCTTCCCTAAGCACTCCTTACCTGTTCATAAATGAAATACAGTTTTGTAACTAAATCCTAACTAAAAGTCCTCTTCTTTCCCCATCACACTATGAGCCATTTCCCCTCTGCCATGCTGGGTAGTTGAGAGTGTGCCACCTGGGTCACGCTGCCTGAGCCATTGACAGGCCAGCCCCAGATCAACAAGCTTCACCATGATCTTCGCCCAAGTAACCAAACACTGTTTCCCATCTCCCATGTCTTCCTACTGCCCAGCCCTAGCCTTACTGTGCTGGTCTCATTCCTAGAATGCCAGCGTACCCGCCCCCCTTCCTTCCAGCATCTCTGGAATCCAGCTGGAAGTTCAGAAGCCACTTCCTCTCCACTGTCCCTCCAGTTCATGGGTCCCTTTGAGTTCTTTCTCCCTAGTGTCCCAGTGGAGTTCATATCCATCTCTTATGACATAGCTTTTTCCCTTTGAGGGGCAGATAGAATGAAGATTGCTTCCCATGGACATACAGAGGCAGGGAAGGAAGAAATGCCAATCAAATCTGTGCAAATGTTTATGCCTGTATAATTTTATTGTTCTTTTAAAGCATTAAGTTGGTGACATTCTTTGAGAATAATGGCTTGGTTTAAAACTTTTGTTTCATGCAGCACACTGGAAACATAATGAGTGAATTTGAAAATCTGAATGTAAATCTTGATAATATTGTTCTGCTGGATGCAGAAGGAAGAAAAAACCTTCAGGCCTTTGTGACTTCTGGAATTCAGAATATAGATTATAACACCCTGTTGGCTCAGGTATAATGCATGTGTACATGTGTGATCTTTTGGGGAAAGTACAATACCAGATGTGCATTTTTTTAATTTGTGTTTTTAATGAGAGAAGACTCACATAACATACAATCACCTTTTTTGGGGAGAGGGTCCTGGGGATCGAACTCTGGACCTTGTGCTTGTGAGGCAGGCGGCAGAACCACTGAGCTAAATCCCCGGTCGAAATCACCTATTTTTAAAGGGGATAATTTAATAGCATTTAATATATTCACAGTGTTATGCAATTGCCACTTCTATTTGGATCCAAAACATCTTCCTCACCCTAAAGGAAATGCTCTATCATTGCCAGCTGCTCTCCACTCCCCCAGATCCTCATCTTCCACCATTCTAGGTTGTATTTCTATGGATTTACCTATTCTAGATGTTCCGTGTAAATAGAATATACCGTTTGTGACCTTTTGTGTCTTGCTTCTTACACTTAGCATGTTATTGAGGTTCTTATGTGGTATAGCATGTGTCAGCACTTCATTCCTTCTATGGTTGAATATAAAAGTGGCATGTATAGAATAGAAGAGAGAGTATTAGAGAAGAGGAAAGGGATGGGGAAGGGAAAGAAGGAAATAAAGGGTAATGGGGGATAGGTACGATCAGTCTGTTATATGCATGAAAATGCCACAGTGAAGCCCAGTAGTCTATATAACTAATATGTACCAATGAAAATATATATTAGAGAAACAGTATGTATAAATAAGAATGTTGTCACCTGTGTAAAAGTTCCTGGCATTTATTTCTTTTTAATTATGGACCCATGTTCAATCGGTTGCTTACTAGATTTTGTTAAGGTCTAAAAATCTCCTATCCATAACACTATTTTTGTTTACCTCTTTTGTAGACTGATAAACCCCCTGTAAAAGTGAATCTTTTATCATTTTCGCTTGACCTAGAAGACAAAGTAAGACATTTGGTGAGTTCACATAGTCCCTTTGAATGCTGTAGGAGTTGTAGAGATCTCACGTCAATACCATGGTGAGGGAAGCAACCGAAGTTTTTACTTGGCATGAGTTTAACGTTGTTGAACAAGGCCTGTCTGATGCAGGTTAGCAGTTCTTATCGGCAACCATGGCCATGCTGCTTTAGTACATACACATGAATGCACACATGTTGCGTGCACACATGTGCCATTTTTCTTGCAGTGTAGGGAATAGAAACCGAGGGCATGGCTGGAAAAGTCCATGCGGTGCTTTGCATTGTGGGTAGTAAGTGGATAATGGTAGGCAGAAGCACCATTAGACATAGTCTCACACTTCATCACCTCCTCTGCTGGGTGTTGACTACATGACCGTAACTGGTCTTCCCAAGAAGCAGCAGACCAGTAATGAGGACCCTGGACTCTGGAGGAATACCTGGGTTTAAATTCAGCCTCTTCATAACAGTAGGCGATTGAGCAAGATATTTTGCCACTCTGTGTCTTTGTTTCCCTATCTGTAAAATGGGGCGCTAGTGTCTCCCCCATAGGATTGTTATAGTTGATGTATCACACAGGAAGTGTGGGTTAAATAAACAGTTCTTGGCTGGACCCTGGTTTTCTCATGCCCCATAGTGGCTGTGGCACAGTGTAGCAGAGAAAGAAAGAACACAATCTCTGGGGCTTAGGAACGCTCCTGAGTGAGGTGTGGTGAGAGTCCCCAACTCTGTGATTTGAAGTGGGTTGTCGGCGTAGCCCCACACGGCCAGGCCCTGTGCCCTTCCACAGCCATCATCTTCCGGTTCGGTAGGCGGGCACAGGCTGATGTCATGGCAGCTCGCGTCCCGTGCGCGCAGTGTGAGAGCGTCGTCTTTATTTCCTTTCTTCTCTCTGTAGCCCCCAGGAAATGTGAAAGATGAGCTCCGAACCCACGCGCAGACTACCAAAGGGATTCAACATCAGCAAGTCCTGCGTATGGAACAGTCACTGGTAAGGGTCACCAAGCCGTGATACTTCCCTGGGACCTGGGCCAAATAGGTCACACCTGCTTGGCTTTCATTTAGCCTCAGGACACCTGCTGACCTCACAGAGGTCCCCGCCATGGCTTCAGCCTCAGCTTTGAAGAAGGCAAATCCGAAATTGCGCCGCCCCTCCTCCTCCTTCCCCTCCCTCTCCCCATGAGTGTCCGCAGGGAGTTGCCGAGGGTCCCCGGCTCCTGCCCGCTTGCTCCAGTTTCTGCTGCTCTCACAGTCTCCTGAACCAGGCAGTTAGCAGTGCTGATGACTTTGTTCTGGCTCCGTCTCACTGTTGTCCAATTCTTTTTCTCCAAACTCTGCCTAGAAATATGTGAAGGTGAGGGTAAGTGCGTCTCTTCCCACATCCAGCACCCGCGTAGCTCTGCTGCCTGACTGTGCGGCCACTGTTTTCCTCTTCTTTCCCATTCTGGCCTTCCCGGACTTCTCACTCCTTTCTTTAAGGCCGTAAAAGCAGTTTGCAATTTGCCCAAAACAAGGTCTGTAGAGTTAAGCTGACCTCATTTCACATCCTGCTTCTGCTTTTCTGAAGTACGGTAGCTTCTCCACTTCCTCATCTAAAAATAAAATTTTAAAAATCAAGAATAAATACAGCAGGAACGATTCCTACACTGCCTTACCTGGCTCACAGAGATGAAGGACTGCTGATCTCAGAGAGACTCACAAATGGGAGGAATGACCATGCTTGTATGCAGGTCCAGGGCAGAACTGTGGGGGAATTGGGCTCCTGGGGCAGTTGCTCAGGTTTGGAGATGTACATTGTGTCCCTTCACTCCCAAATCCAATCTCTGGGTCTAGTTGTAATTTCTCTTTTTCTCCTGCTGACTTCGTAATTCACTAGGGAAGTCATAAAGTCTTTCTGTTGAATTTGCTTAACGTGTATGCCAGGCTCCTCATGATTCCCTGCTGTCCTTGCTTACACCAGTACCAAGTTAACATTTTAAGCTGGTTTTGCATTTTCCTTAAACTCTTTTTTTCAAGTGGACAGGGTTCCTTGGCCTCTTTGGAGCTAGGGCAACCTGGTCATTAAAAGGCAAGTTGTTTTGTACTTGACCTGTGGCCTAAACCAGGAGTTGGCAAACTATGGCCTTCATGAACTACACCTTGAGGGCCAAATCCAGTCTGGCGCCAGATTTGTAAATAAAGTTTTATTGTTACATGGTCATGTTCACTTACTTAACAACTGTCTGGCTGTGCTTGTTTGCAAAGGCAAAACAGAGTAGTTGGGACAGACTATGGCTCCTAAAGCCTCGTAGCTACTGAATGGCCCTGTATAGAGGAAGACGGCCACTCTTGACCTAAAGCACTCAGGTGAACCATACCTTTTTTCAAAGGGCCTAAAGGGCCTGTAATTTAGCTCAGTGGTTCTGCTGCCTGCCTCACAAGCGCAAGGTCCCAAGTTCGATCCCTGGTACCAAAAAAAACAGTGCCTAAGTACCTTCCACTTCAATCAAATGTATATCGATACTTTGCATGTGTTATGCTGCTCCACGGAGCTTTCAATTATGTATCCTCATTTTCTTCTTCAGACACTCTTACACTAGTGGCATGGAAGATATTTGTAATAGCTTGGCGTGTGACGCTTTTTCTAGACGGAAGCCCTTCCTGTGTAAAGTCAGATTTGATGGCTGTACGGAGGGAGGAGGACACAAGACACATGATCTTGCTGCTTCGTATAATAATTTTGAAAATACTATGTTTGTTCCCCAGAACAATTTAAAGAAAAACATCGGAACACTTCAGCGAACAAGCAGTGGATTGGAGGTCAGCATTTATTTTGTTTTTGTGCCGGGGGTTTTGTTATCTAATACTATGCACAGAATTTCAAAGACGTTGATTATTTTTTATAGGTTTTTAGAGCAAAAATAAGTCTCAGTTATCGACTCATTTTAAACCGAGTTTTCCTACCATATTCTTTCTACAAATGTTTCTATGGATGCAGACCTCTGCTTAGGTTGTTAGAGACACAGGTGAAAAGGTCTGTGTTTTGATGTGCAGGATGCAGGTGTAGAAGGTACACCGGCCACTTTCACAGAGATAATGCTGTGTAACAAACTGTCGATCTCAGAACTTTCCAAGCATTCATCTTCACTCCTGGGCTGACCCCTGGCTTCCCTACATGTCTTCCCCATGGAACATGCCACCTAAGGAGCAGCTCCTGTGTGGGCCACCTCATGTCCTCTTAGTGGGTGACATGAGTTCAGGGGCTGAAAGGAAAGGCTGGGGTTTTTTTAATCCACTGTTCAGAACCAGCAGCACTGCCACTCTGCCTGCTCTGCTGCCCAATGACGTGGCCACGCCTGTGGTCGTTATTGTCAGGTTGGGGACGTGCAGGTCCTGTCAAAGACCTCACCCATATCTGGCTCAAAGCAAGTGCTTGTGCTGGACCCCTGTCCTTCCCCAGCCCTCCGAGAGCTGGGCCAGGTCGTGGTGTCTGGGGTTCTCCGTATCTGTGGTTTCTAAATCTGCAGGTTCAACCAACGGCAGAATCAAAAATATTTTGAAAAAAAAACTTCATCTGCACTGAACATGTGCAGACCCTTTCTTGTCATTATCCCCTGAACAAGGCAGTATAACAGTTGGTTGTACAGCATTTATATCACATTAGGTATTATGTGGTATTTATGCACAGTGGAGTACTACTGTGCTATAAAGAGGGATAAATTTGGGTTATTTATAGAAAAATGGATGCATGTTGAGACCATAATGTTAAGTGAAATACATCAGACACACAAGCTTACATATCACATAGTTTCTTTTATATGAAAACCCCAAACTATAAATAATTAAAGAGCAAAATAAGACAAATAATAGGAAACGAGGAGATGGATCTTTTGCAGATGGGGAGGGATGAAGAGATGGAGGAGGAGGGAGGAGGAGGGAGGGGATGAAAAAAGAATTAAGATGCATTAGGTACATGTTCCAACTCCCCACGATGGGTATAATCACTATGTACCGCAGATATGTACTAATAAAAATGAAAATTTTAAAAAACCACATAATCTGGGGATGACTTAAAGTGTAGATGAAGGTGTGGGATGTGTAGGTTCTATGCAGATACTATGCCATTTGTATAAAGGATGTGAACATCTGTGTGTTCCGGTATCCAGGAGAGGCTCCTGGAATTCATCTCAAGGGACAACTGTGCTCGAATTGAGTTGCAGATTGTCTAATTAATCCCTTTGCCACTCGGTACTCCTCCAGTTGTTGCTGTGTTTTCCAGGAGAAAGTGAACAAGGTCCTGGTCTCTCTGGACTCTGCTCAGAACTTCATGGCGAACAATATCTCCTCTATTATTGTTGAAGTGAGTTGTCTTTTTAAAAATAAGCATCTCCATAATCAGGCATGTGTCTGTTCCATCATTAAATATCCAGCAAATTTAAGTATGCTGTTATTTTAGTGATTTTACTCATCTTTGATTTCTTTTCTAGGAAACGAAGAAGTACGGGAAAATCATACTAGGACACTTTGAACATTATCTGCAGTGGGTCAAGGATGCTGTAAGTAGTTAATCTTTTTATGAATATAAAGGGGCCACATCTTAGAGAAGTCATGTTCTAGGGCAAAATCTGGAGGAAATAAAATTAAATTCCTGGTAATTTGCTGTGAAGTGAAAGGACTTTGAAGTATGGGGACCAAGCCCTTCAGGGCCACCCACCATGTAAATGACATACCCCTTTCAGACCCCTTTGTCCCTTCACTTTCTGTTATCATATGGTTCTTCCATTTTCTTCTCAGTTCTTCTGTCAGGTAACAGAGGGGTCAGATAAAAACTTTGAGTTAAAACACTGTGCTAGACACACGTATTATTTAATCCTTTCAGCTAACCTGTTGGGAGGGCTTTCTTGTTCCAAGTAAAAAACAAATGAACCTGAAATGCGAGGCTCAGAGAGAAGAAAGGTCTTGTTTAAAGCCTATAACATAACACACTGCAAAACTCATCCGTATAAATTAGTCGCCGGCTCTGTGACCTAGAGGAATGGAGGTCTTTTCGGGAAAGCAGCCCGAAAGGAAGTGATGTTCCTCGTTCTTGTGGAGTTTTCTGAGTGACTCAGTAAAAGTTTGCCTTTGCTTCTTGTCCCCATAGGTCACTGAGAAAATGGTGTCCTGCAAGCCCATGGCCACCGCCCTGGATTCTGCCATCAGTGTCGCTCTGTGTGGCTACATTGTCCACCCTCTGGTAAGACTTCACCTTTCCAAAGGTGCATAATAAATCCGCCATCTTTGATCCCCTGACAGATCATAGCACACACTATAATACATTTTCTGCTTGGATTTGATACCGTTCTAGGACCCAAACCCTGAAGTCTAGATCAGTGAGTTAGTACTTACACCTAATAGACTAGAGAAGTAAAGTCCTAGTTGCAGATTTTCATTCTTTACTAAGTCACATTACAGAAGTCAGAACAGAATTCCTGTTAGGAATCATCAGAAAGGATCAGTCATTGGTGTGCCCATGGCTAATATTCCAGGATTCCAAGTGGAACTCTGCACAAACCCAGAGCTACACCGAACTGACTTTTTGATTTCGAAGGCCTCTACGATGTGACCACCGGGATGATAAGTTTCAGTTCATCAGGGTGATTCATCCCTCTACGTTCTCCGGCTCCCCACGAGCTCGACCCCTCACCAGCTCTGCTTAGTGTTTCCGTGGCTTCCCACTGGATCAGGATGAAGATCCGTCCCCTGCCTGTCATGGCCCCCCTTTCTCCCTGTGCGCCACACATCCTCGTTTTCTTTCATTTCTTCAAATGCACCCCAGCTTCTCCCTGCCAGGCCTCCTGCACAGCCCCGTTTTCTGCCTGGACTCAGAATGGCCCGGGCACTTTGCTCTCCTGTCTCCCTCCCCTCCACCCTGGGCCCCCAGCTAACTTCCCAGGTCATACTCTAAATGCCAGCTCCGCTTCTCCGTTTTCTAAACTCTGACTTTGAAAATGACTGAAATTTTCTGCGATTCCTCACCTGAAGGGGGCCGTTTTGAGCTGGTGAGATTATGTGAACAGCGTCAGGACCATTCTTGATACATTGACACACTTGAGTAATGTTTGCCGCTCTTGCTTGTTCAGTTTCGAGGTCTCAGCTCAAAGCAACTGTTTTTCCAGGAAGGATGTTCTGATCCTCCAAACTGCAGGGCTCCCTTCCCACATTCCACAGGAGGCTCTGCTTTGCTGGTAGCCTTGTTGTTGCTGTTGAATTACGTGTGTGAGTCTACAATCTGTCCTCTGCACACGCACTAGATCTGAGCCCCTCGAGGACAGGCCGTGTTTCCTGCCACGTCCCTCATGGGGAGCCTGTCCGGCAGGGTGCATCCCTCAGCAATCTTCAGAATAGGTTAAATTAAACATGGAGTGCGTGGTGAGACCCTGGTATGTGCCACGCACTGCTTCTGTCTCCTTCAAGTTGAAGGGACCCCACTGTCCCAATTGCAGAACCAGGCCAGAAGGATCACGCACCTTCTCACAGGGACTTGAACTTGGACCTGCCAGACTGCCAGACTCTTGGTTAGACAGTCGGGGAAGCAAAGAGGGGCTCTGTAGCGAGTGCATGGTCCAAAGCTATTTCGGAGGGTCCCAGACTGAATCTTATCTTCACCAGTGGCTGCTTCTGTTCCTTTTCTGGAAAATAAATAACAGGAGCCACTCAAGGTTTCCAGAAGAATAACTGGATTATAATACAGTGTAGTATTTCACACAATGGCTGGTATGTGTTAGGTTCACAAGTGAGTTTAAAGAACAAAATAAAAACTCAGGTAAAAAAAATTGCAAAAAAAAATGTTTCCTCGACTGTTATTTTGCATTTCCTATCTTCATAAGCATTTAATTTTCCTGATTATTTTTTTCTCCCAGAATTTGTTTTGGTTTGGTATAGGACAAGCTACTATGCTATTACTTCCGGCTATAATCTTTGCTGTGAAGTTGGCCAAGTACTATCGCCGAATGGACTCGGAGGATGTGTATGACGAGTGAGTAGCTGAGTTTCCTCTCTGGGAGTTGGGACCATTTTCGAAGTAGTGCTGCTGTCCAAAAGCTGAGCTCCGATGAGCCTGAACTTGACCTTGTCCTTAAATGCTGGGTCATTCCTGTCCAAGTGGGTTGTTTGTTCCTTTGTTTGTTTGGATTTTATGCTGATTTTCTTAGGCTTGTCCTGTTTTCTTTCTCTTGCTTAATCTTTAACCAGCTTTCTTTTTTCTCGTTCACAGTTCTCCTCTCTCGGGGACTTGGCATTTTACTTTATGATAACTGTTGTTGCTCCTTTTCCTTTGGGCTCTCTAATGCACCCTGTGCTTGTGTGTGGTGACCTGTGTGTCTCATTGTCACTTCACTCATCTCTCAACAGGTTTTTCTCTAGAACTTGCACTGTCAGACGTCCTGGAATAAAAATGGGGGGGGGGTAGCTGTTGAGCTTGAAGATCAACCAGACAATAAGTAATTCTCTCCCCTTTTTGTATTTTATAGTGTTGAAACTCTACCCATGAAAAAGTAAGCCGTTTTTTTTTTAACTATGCATAGATGGGTTGAGGGAGGCTCTTATAATTATATAACAAATTTTTAAATGAAATCAATAACATCCTAATCGATTAAAAATGATAGACATATCCAAGTAAAACTTGTGACACCTCTTAAATTGAGGACCAGCACATAGAAGGTACTTAAGAAACACTAAATGAATGAATGTTTTATATGTTAACTTTATTAATCTATAAAGTAGTCATTTCCATCTTTAGTTTTTAAAGGGCGCGAAATACATATATACCCTTAGACCTTTGCAGATTTAACACACTGTCACATGCTTTTCATGACCATGACATTGTCTTTGTATTCTCTGTTGTAAACATTTCATCATAGAGATAACATGCTGTTTTTGGTGTATTTATTTTTGTTACAGTATGGAAAATGGTAATAATGGTTATCATAAAGATCATTTATATGGTGTTCACAATCCCGTTATGACAAGGTAACGCAAAGCCCAGAAGTGCATGCCTGTCCTGTGACCACTCTGCTTATTCCCTGTAGATCAGACCCTGAGCCTTCTGCATGCTGCTGACCCCTTCACTTCCCCCTGCCTGCAGGACCCTCTCTCAGTGGCTGTCCCCAGTCACCCCTACATAGCATTCCACGATGCCACAAGTTTGCATTTTCAACGGATTTCTTAGCAGCGGAATTGTGCAGCAACGAAAGCTTGGTTTCATCTTAAAATGCTATGTATGGCTCATCTAAATCATTACGGATTAAACGCATGCACACTTTTGATTTAGCATTTCTCTGCATTGAACACACTAAGTGTTAATAGCTCTCCAGGCCTACCCTTCTTTCCCTCCCCCCTTCTTCCTTTCCTCCCTTCCTTCCAGTAAATTGACTATGATTGACCAGAAAAAGAGTACCAACCTTTCCTCCAAGCTCTTTATGAATTTATATTCTCTGGAATTAAGGAGCTTCCTGTGGTACTGGATATTTACCAGGTAACTCTGAGCATTACTGGCCAGGTGTCTTCTTCCTGGGCTTCAGTGAAACTGGAGACATGCATGTCACCCGGGGACCTTCTACTGAGACGAGGTGGGAACAAAATGCACAGGGCCCAGCAGGGAGCCATCCTCTTCAGTGGGTCTGGTTCTCCCCTTATCCACACAACTGGCCCCACACCATCTGCATGGGATGCATCTTGTTAAAAGGTCACCATCAAGGGCCGGGGATTTAGCTCAGTGGTTTCGCCTCCCACTGCACAAGCGCAAAGACCTGAGTTCGATCCCCGGTACAAAAAAAAAAAGGTCACCTTTGGGATCCACAGGTATTTATAGAGGCTCTCAGTCTGGGTGGGGGCATCCTTAGGCAGGGTTGCCTAATAACAGCTGGTGCGATACCTTTGTCAAGTTGCAAGAAAAACAGAACCAGAAAGGTTTTTTTTTTTTTTTTTTGGTACTAGGGATCGAACTCGGGACCTTGTGCTTGTGCGGCAGGCAGTGGAACTGCTGAGCTACATCCCCGGCCCCCAGAAAGGTTTTAACGTTTGTCTTTTCAGAAGAATAAAAGGTTTTTTCTAACTTACAACTTGAGCATTATAAAAACTTCAGAACTTTTTCAATTTGCCCTTTAGGAAAAGGAATATTGTCTTAGAGTCTTTGGGCTTCAGTAACAAAATAGGATAAACTAGGAGGCTGATAAATGACAGAAATGTCTTTCTCACGGTTCTGGAGGCGGGGAAGTGGAGTCATTGTGCTGTCAGGTTCAGTGTCTGGTGAGGGTCATCTTTCTCATAGACAGCACCTGCTCGCTGTGTCCTCTCACGGTGGCCTCTCCTAATCAGCTCCCCAAGGCCCCCACCTCCTAATGCCATCATCTTGGTGATAAGGATCTCAGCTTACGAATTTGAGAGGGATATAAATGTTCAGACCATGCCAGAAATGGCGACAATCAAGAACGGGGACGAGGATGTTCTGAAATGGCTAAAGGACCCTGTGTCATCTCACTTGCTTCTTATAGTACGCTAGACACAGTTGCTAAAGTGCTATGTTGTGAGATTGAACCAAGACGAGTGTCCCCTGCAGGGAGAGTGGACAGCTCCGTGGGCTGCATCATGTACTGACCTGCCTTTTCATGGGTGGCACAGTTGCAGGATGACTTAGATTTATGGACTGAAATTTTCAAGATCAAGAAGGCGCTTAACTACCTATGTGGTCGCCAAATCAGTTCTCCTAGGACTTGGTTGAATCGGTTTCTGGTGCTTGCTTGCCTTTATGTAAGGTTTCGGATTCATGATAATGAGGATGCCCTTGTCTTTTTGTTACCTTGATGTTTCTGATGGAATCCAAGGGTGATTCCTAAGAGAAATGCACCTGTCTAGCCTGCTAGCCAAGCCAGCCCCATTGAGCTCTGTTCATTACACTGCCGGGGTTCTAGATGTTAGCAGAGACCCCTGGTGGGACCTTCTGTACAGATGAGCCAGACTGATGCTGCCTCCACTCATTCTGCTACTGCAATTTTTTCCAGCAGGCGGAGACTTTTTTATCTGGGGAAGGGCTGAACAGCTCCTTTCTGCACGTTGCCCTGGCCTCGTAGATAGTGAGGATCACACAACTTTTGCATTCTTTCTCCCTCTAGCGGTCATGTAAACTTTTGGCAGAGAGACCCATTCGTCTGTCTCTGGCCTGAGATCAGAGAGAAAGGTGCTTCTTGCTGGACCACAAAGTGTGTGAGTCCCACTGCTCTGGGCACTGAAGACACGGTGCTGTCCTACATGATTCCACCAGCCCTCTCAGCCCTACACAGCCACCTCCCTTTTACACAAAGGCTCAGGACATGAAGGCCATGCCGCATCCCACAGCCAGCCAGCCCCAACTAGCTCTGAGCTGTCCTTTGTCCTTTCTCCCAAAGCTGAGAGTATAGAAAAGCTCTCACCACCAAGTTGCGTGACCCCAGCGAAGAGTGATCATTTCCCCATTCTTCACAGTGATGGCCACCAAGTTGGATGAGAGGCAAATGATGCCTCAAAGCCCAGTTTCCCTGGAAAGAAGATTAATTGATTTGTACATGAAGTTTCCTTTTGTAATGTTAACAAACCATGTTGACAGAAGTGCCATGGGGGTCCAACCAGATAGGTCCATACACCTTTGCCTTCTTGTTACTTGTGCTGCCCAGTGTGTCCCTCGTCTGAAGTGCTGCGGGCACCTTGGTAAAAGGGAGTACTGAGAACCCTGAAACATTACTGGAAACCTCTGCAGTAGGCACCAGTCTCCTGTTCAGTGTATGATGCAAGACTGAGAAAAACACCTAAAAGACAGAACTAAGGCAGAAAGTGGGGAGCCAAGAAGGCCAATGTTGCTTAATTAGCAAAGGTGCTGGTGCGTCCAAGCCACTCATTTTTATTAGTAATAAATTGGGGTAAAGGCGAGCTATATGCAAGAGCAGGACTACGTGCAAGGACGTGCAGTCAGTCCTGCAGTTTCTGTGGGAACTAACGGAGGCAAGGCTTGTAAAAGAAAAAGACAAAGCATTCTCAGATTAGGAACAGAATAGACAAAATATATGGTTGTAATTAGAGCATTGTCCTAGTTAAGGAAGTTTTAGTGTGGGAACAGAATTTAGGTGTGAGTTACTCTGACCTCGGCACCTAGGCTTTGGCCGGACTCACTTCTATAAACAAGCCAGTTATGAGGTTAACTCTTTACAGCCTGTGTTGCTTACAGCCTGCTGTGGGCATAATTAGCATTGCAGTATCCCGCAGGGAGGGGTCCACACAGTGGTCTTCCTACAGCAGGAAGGAACAGCTGGATCCCGGGAACAGCAAGGGAGTGACAGGTTCCCCTCCCTGCGCATGCGCTGGTCACAAAGGTTTAGTAGAAAGTGCTGGGAGACCCTGACCCTGCATCATGCTCCAGGCCTTGGGTAGGGGGTGGGGGTTTTCTTCTTGTATTAGGCGAAGTGCATTAGTGACTTAACGGGTGCTGTCTCCTGGCCATTTCCTGTGTGAGTCAGGTTGCCCAAAGTGCATGCTGATGAAGACCTGGAGAGTGAATCCAAGCTAACTCGACAAGGACCACCAGTAGTGTATGATGTCTGCTCTGGGAGAAACGTCCCAGCTGTCGTACCTCGGCTTCCTGTAGTGTTTTGTGGTGTTGGTTGGACAGGAAACTAGAGTGCAGAGCTCGGGTCCTCATGGCCTGAAGAAGCAGGTCCTCAAACTGCCCCATTTGAAGGGCTCCTGGTCTCCATCATATCAGAATTTTGAGGAATTGGTCTCAGTTGCCTGGATTGATTTGTGTTGCTTGTTTCCTAGCTCTCAGTTCTCCGAAGCACCCCCATTTTCCAGAAGGAAGTGGGGTAGACCATCTGGAGGCCCCCAGAGAGGTACAGCTGGGCCAGAAAAGACCCAGGGGTACGGTTGGTGTGCAGTTGGTGTCCCCAGTGTCCCACACCTTGGAATGCAAATAGAGATGTTCTTTAGAGGTGATAGAACATTGTCCTAGTTAAGAAAGTTTTGGTGTGGGAATGGGATTTGGGTGTCAGTTACTCTGACCGCAGTACGTAGGCATCAGCCGGACTCACTTCTGTGTCTTCACAGCGTGTAGCCCGGGCCCAGCGCTGTGAGCTGGAGCAGGACACTGAGCCACTCTGCCTGCACCCTGTACCCCGAGCCCCCAAGTCCCCTCAGGAAAGAGTTTGTTTCTTACTGGAAGCATAAGGAAGAGAGTGAGAGGAGCTTCACAGGCCTCATGTGTGATTTTTTTCCCACTATGAAATATCCTTTTGGACGATCGCCTGCCCTGCAGGAGCTTTGATGTCCTGGGTGCCCACTCCCGCCCTCAGTCTCCCACCACTGCACCTGGGCAGGGCACCTGCTGCAGGGGCAGCCTGAGGTTCAGGGGCCGAAATCCACTCCACGTCATGGTCAGGGGCTGTGCCAAAGCCGAGACTGCAGACCTTCCCAACGGAGTTCCCCCACCCGCCTAAACCTTAGAGGACCTCAGGGCTCCCGCTGATGGTTACCAGAGAGCCACTCTGAGAACGCACACAGTCTGACCTCACACTGTGGACTCGTAATTGCCAAGGTCCCTGCAGAACTTCGTTTGCTTCTGCCCTCTGGTCTAGCCGCAGACTTGAGGGAGCTGCCCGTGGCCCATTCTCTATTGGCTGTGGTGGTCTGGTTTCTGGGAGTCTAGGTCTTAGACACATTCTCAGTGGCTTTTTCCACGCCTAGCCTTACATTGTGACTATACACAGTTCCACTTGTCACAGTTTGTGTCTCTCCATCCTCCTTATCCTCTTTATAATGGCAATGCAAACGGAAGCTGCAAGAACCAGTTTTACTGACAAGCTTTTTTCCTGATAAATGGGCAGAAGTGGGATGTGTGCTCATCTGCCGCCTTTAGTCACCTGCCTGCTGACACTACCCACAGCCCGACTGGAAGTTCATGTTTCTGTATGTTTTTGTTTTCTAGTGCATTACGATATTGACAGCTGATGTGGAAATGGCTTGAGGTAAGTGTCATGCTTTCATATAAAACCATTTATAGGATTATAGCCTTTAGTGTTAGAACATTGAAACATAGCTAATCCTGATAAGTGGAAAATCTAGGTTTAACATACAGGTTATACAGTATGATTGTCCATTTATATATAATACAATGACTATATGACTGTTACACATATATATGTATATATTGTAAAAAATAAGACTTTAAATTTATAGTAAAATAAGCTCTACTTATTTATGTACCTTAAATATTACGGGCTTAAAAGTTTTTTAGACATTTTTGTACTTCTATGATTGTTTTGTTTTAAAAAAGCCATTTCAGAAACTAAAATCATAATGCGAGGATACAAATAAAGCGACCCAGGGTGGTTTCCTCTTGAATACATCTGTCTCTTCTGTAGCACTCGAGCTTCTAGCAGGAACCATTTCAGGGTTAGGCCTTCCTGGTTCCTTTAATAATTCAGAGCCGTTTGATACTCATTTCAGCCTCAAGACACCCAAAGTGGAAAGGATCACAGACTTTTGATGGTTTCCGAGCCTGCAAGAACTTTGCAGATCCAGGAGGAACTTTGATGGCGACACCGTGACTCAGGCAGCCCCTGGGGTGCAGCGTCATTGGTCTCTGGGTGGTACTTTGTTAGGATGAACATGGTCACATTTACAGTCCACGTGTCCCTCACTATTTAAGCATAATTCTCCCCTACCCTGTTTGTTTTTGTTTTGTACTTTTTTACAGTGAATTTCTGTATAGACACTACAGTATATAGGTGTTTATTCCCACCAAACACGTTTCTGTATCTAGCAGCTATTCAGATGAGTTAGCTGAGTTCCTGACTTACTTCCACATGTGGAGTGCGCTAAACACATATCAGTTTACAGAAAAAAATGTATTTTTTGTATAGAAAATTGTATATATCTTTTACCCAGGAAGAGTTTTTAAACAAATGAGTACAGTAGTCTTAAATGAGCTTGCTATCAGCTCAGTGTTGACTTATTGATGCTGTTGGAAATAATCCATGTTCACTAAAAGTGTGAAACCTACAGCATATCCTTCCACTCGGATTTTCACCGACTTTGTCAATGGTTTGTCATGATGTTTAGAAATAGAATGCAGAAGCGATCGCAGAGAAATCTGCTTGACTTCTGCACTGGCAAATTCAAAATGAGAGAGAGACAGGGAGGGAGTATCTCGAGAGAAAGATGATGCTCGTCAGAAGGTGGAGTCATCTTTATAGATGCTGATTACATTTTAATGGAGTTTTTCATTCATAAGGATAGGTATCAGTTGGAGTGTCATTTGATTGCAAGGTGGGGCCTAAAATGAAATGGAATAAGATCCTGTCATGATTCTTAGATTTTGTATCCAACATGAATGAAGCCTCTGAGTTTGGTTCTGTGAAAGCACAGAGTCAATATGTATTTATTTTGGGTTATTCAGCTGGGATTTGTTACTTTCAAAGTGATCAGCAATGAAAAGCTGGTCAAACCAAAGTGAGCTGCTTTTCATGTTCAGATCACAGTCCAGATCCATCCCAATAAAGAGGAGCTTGGAAAACATGTGCTGTGTGTCACGTCCTTGAGCAGACCAAAGACTGTCAAGTTGGAGGTGATGAAATACGGGCTTGTGGCACATCTTTATTCCCCTCCTCTGCTCCCAGGACAGTGCTGACAGGAAGTCAGCACACACTTCCTGTTTGTCAAAGAGTGCTGTCTTTTAAGCCCTCAGCTTTTCAGCTCTAAAGTCACCATTTCTTAGGTAACTGTCCAAGTTGCATTAGCTGCATTACACACCCTCAAATACCACCACAGGCAAACCCTGTCTGATAATGCTCCTAAGCATATAAAATGCAAAAATTACTTTTGGTAAAATTACGTATGAGAGGCTTGCAATTTGGACAAATTACACCATATAGTGTATAATTCTTTAGGGAGAAATCATCTCCTAACATTTTTCTAAAACCTAATTTTCGTATCCTACATTAAAAAAAAATCCTAATCATTTAAGCCAGCTGAGCTTAATACATCATAGCTTATGTCCAGCAATCTTTGTTCCAGTGTCTCCCGCTGTCAAACATGCAAGCAGTGGGGAGTGATCGTAAAGGTCTCGTCTTTTCTCTGCCCCATAGAGCACTCTCTCTTGTTAGTGCAGCACATTTTTTTTCTCTCCCTCTCTCCTTTGCAAATAATTTCCTTGAAAGAATTCTCAGCACATCTCCAGCCTCTACTTTCTCACCTCCAGTGGTTCTTCAGCTGCTTCATCTGGCTTCCAACCTTCCACTCCTCTGAAGGTGACAGGACTTTGTTCACCACTGCCTCTGCACATCAGTCCTTTGCAGGCCCCCAGAGAGGTCCCCTCCTATGCTGTCACCCTTCCTATGCTCATCTTCTCTCCTGTCCACCTCCCACTTTCTCCTTGGGCGATTCTGTCACACTGATGGCTTCACCTGCCTGCTATGGGTCTGATGCTTTTCTCTAGTCATGGTGGAGCTCTAGCAGTCCACTGCCCCTTGCCCATCTCCACCAGATGTGCCTTAATCCGGGGATCACTTTCTTCCCTGTGAAGGGGTGGACAGTTCATGTGTCAGACTTTCTGGGCTACAGCTGTGTGTCTAGCTTCCTTGTAGCTTAGAAGAAGCCAGTATGCAATATGTAAGTCACTGGACCTGGCTTAGTTCCAGAAGATGTTACAAGAACGGGCCACAAGGGCCACAGTTTACTGACCCTGCCTTAAACTACCATCCTTTCCTATGATCCTCTCAGTTCTGCCTCTGGGTGCCCATTCTCGAATTGCTCCACCTTCACTCTATTCCTAGAGCCACAGTTAGCCAAGTCTGCTTTCTCTAAATTCCTTCCACCCTTGATCACCAAGCCTCTTTGCTGTCCCACAGAAGCTACCTTTTTACTGTTCTCATTCTGTCTCTTGGTTTTATGGCATTTTAGCTGGACTTATGGCTGCTTATGTGGGGACTACATTTCCCAGACTCACTTGCAGGTAGGTTGCCTCCCTGGGCTTAGGCTGGTGGAAATCAAATGAAGCATCTAGTCAAGCTAAGCTACTCAGCTTGGACTCCTTCCACTGAGGAACAGACACATCTTGGAAGCAGGGTGTTAAACTTGTCGTGCCTGGCATGAACCTGAAAGACTTTAATGAGAGAGAGAGTCTTTTGTCACAGCGGCTCAGATTTACAACTCACCCAGTGACTGCACCCACTTGCTCACTAGCCTCCCGTGCAGCCATGCTCTGCTGCCTATCCTTTGTTGTCCACATTGCACTTGGGTAAATCTCTCACCATGCAGATCTGAGTGTGCCACTCCTCACTTAAGGATGGATAAGCAAGAACAGAAATTGCTTTTACAAGGTTTAGGGCAGGAATAGTGGTGAGCTCCTTGACATTGAATGGTGGTGGTGGAGGCCTGCTATGGAGGTGGCAGGAAACAGCCAGGCATTCAGTAAACAGGAGCAACAGGTTCCCAGGCAGCAGCATGACCACTGTGTGAAGACCTCCAGACTTGCCTTGTTCCAAAAAAACCAGAAGAAGAGCATGACCAGAGCTATTCAAAAATCTTTTTGGCAAGTTCCCACAGCCGGGGAAATCAAATGCACTAGAAAATTCCCTTGGAAAGACTGGCCATAACCTCAGGGCTACTGGCTGTGGCTGGACGGTGGTGCCCTGCCCAAGATACTGCTGAGAGCGGCTCAAGCTGAGTAACTGCCCTGCTGGCCGTGGTGAGCCAGGTTCGGAGCCCCGTGCCCTGCAGAGGCTCCCAGGTCTGAAGCACACAAAGCCACGCCCCTGGCCCCCAGAACTGGCACAAGAGGCCCCGTGTTGGGTCTGGAGCCGCTGAGTCGCACCCTTCACATACTCATCCTGCTCACTGGCTTCCTGCCGTGACATTTCTATAGTCCATAAACCCACGCTCTGGGAACAGGTTTCTGCAACTACTGCTCTGCTTTGAAAGCCTGCCCTCGGCCAGGCATGGTCGTGCAATCCCAGCACTCTTCGAGGCTGAGCCAGGAGGATTGTAAGTTTGAGGCCAGTCCAGGCAACTTAGCAACTTAGCGCGATACTGCTTCAAATTAAAAAGGGCTACGGATGTGGCTCATTGCAAAGATCCTGGATTCAATCCCCAGCAGTAACCCTGCCCTTTCCAGCCCTTAACTTGAGAAGTTGGCTGGCACCACTGGGCGTAAGATGCCCCCTAAGCTCCGCTGGGATGAAGTCCCTGCCCCACTGTGTCTCCTTGGGCCTCGGGCTACCAGGGTGGCAGAGACTGTTCGAGGTGACAGTAACTCCTTGCAGGATTCCCAAAGTGCAGTCCCTACTGTTCAAACTGGACGCCCAGGGCCCGCAGCCCTCGCCTTGCCCTGACAGCTCAGCCCCCTGACTTGGTCCCGCAGACACCAGCGAATGGACCACAGGAAAGAACGCCTGCACCAAAATGCCATTTTTCATGAAGAATCAAGTTATTTTCACTTTCTTTCACTCTTTGTTTAGTACAATAAGATTTTTTTTCTGTGACAAAATTAAAATTCCATGTCATTACCATTGCACTTAGAATCTCCGGTCTGATGTAGATTCTAGGTCGCAGTGTAAACACACGAGGCCGACTTTGTTGATCATGATTCAGTTCACGTGGGTAGGCCCTCCTGGTGAGGGGAGGACATCCCCAGAGGCTGGTGAGGTGACTCAGCTCCCGGGGGCGACACCCTCTGCATCCCTCAGGCACTCCGCACACACTGCACACACACCCCCTTTTAAACCTGAGTGTTATTTTGTTTTTCATTTGCCGGACCATCTCAAAGAATTGGGCTCACAAGACCTCAGCATCCTTTGGATTAACTAAATACAAGGTCCCCAAAAAGGGGACCCCAAGAGAGGAGAAGCCCCAAGATAGCCCTGGACTCGAAGCGACAAATCCCTCCAGAGCTCCTCTGCCACACCTTGGTGTATCCCTGATGTTGACAAAGAAGGCTGTGCTCATGTGAGAGCCACTTACAGAGCAAACACCTTGGGGATGGGAAATGCAAAGTGCTCAGCCCTCACCCTGAGAGTAGTACATAGCACAGACAGGCTGTAGCCACTCCCTTCTTCTTGTTTTTCCTTCTTTCCTCTGCAGTGCTGGGGATCAAAGCCAGGGCCTCATGCATGCTAGGCAGGCGCTAGACCACTGAGCTGAGCCCCAGCCCTGCGGCACATTCTGGGCACTCACGGGATCTTTCTGGCCAAGTCTTGGCAGATACCACACGTCCCTGGTCAGTGCACGTTCATTTTCTCCTGGGAGACACCCCGCACAGCCCTTCAGAGAAGGACCTGCTTGTACAGAGCCTTTTAAAGAATGACTTCGCCTGCTTAGGTTCTCTCTCCTGGGGCAGGGTTGCAGGTAGGTTTGTGGGCAAAGGGCATCGCCAGCTTCAGACTGGGGGCCCTGTCCCGCGACAGACTCTGCAACAGACCGAGGGGTACAAGCCAGCATGGGAGAGGAGTTCTAGTTCCAGGCTGGAGGGGAGATTCCAGTGCTGTGAAACTGGTGAAAGCAGCAGATGAGAAAGGGCTCCATGATAAAACTGGAGAACCCAGACCCGCCACCCCACCCAACTTGAACCAGAGTGGAACCGGAAGCAGGGACAGAACGCCGCTGGGTGCCCTTCTGTGCTGTGTGTGTTTATTTCATCAGCTTCCACGGAGGCGAAAGGGCAAAGGGCCCCTGCCAGTGACTCACCTGCTCTCATCCATGCAGAGAGACTTGTCACAGCCTCGGGGACCGCCTCGGCCTCAGCATGAGTTTGAGTCTCCTTTGGGGACTTTGTTGCAGGGTAGAGTGGGTGAGTAAAGTTGGGACATCAGCAGTAGCGCTTAACCCTGGTGACACTGAAGGGCCCCAGAGGGCTCTAAAAATACTGACGTCCTGGCCCTGTGTTTGAAGACTTCCTGCCCAGTGGGCACCCAGGAATGTGGGCTTTAAAATCTCTTTCCGGCTGGGCGTGGTTGGGCAAAACTGTAACCCCAGCACTCAGGGAGTGAGGCAAGAAGATTAAAAAGTCAAGCCTGGGCAGTTTAAATTTTTTAAATTTAAAAAACTTAAACCCGAGTGTGGTGGTGCATGCCTACAATCCCAGCACTCAAGAGGCTGAGGCAGGAGGATTGCTGTGACTTCGAGGCCAGCCTGGGCTACATAGTGAGTTCAAGGCCAGCCTGAAATACAGAGCAAGACCTTGTCTGAAAAAAAAAAATTACAAGGGTGAGGGGTGAGCACTGGACATCTAGTTTGGCACAGAGGCCATGGATTTGAACCCCACTAAGCCCTACAAATTTCTTTCAAATGATCTGAATGCCACCAAGGCTGAGAACCCTGTGAGGTGGCACCAACTCAGAAGCCCTTGGGATTCTGGCTGGAGACTTTCCAAAGAGCCACGTTTTGGCTCCAGTGCTTTGCTGCCAGGCTATCAGATGAAAGGGTGCCCCACGGACCCCTGAGTTCCTGCACAGTTATGCGAGTGTTTGGCGCACCTTGTCTTCCATCAGGGTTCACAATCAGTAGGTGTTCAGTGCAGGGGC